ATTTAGACAAAGGTYTAGAACTCATAAGCAAGGCCATTGAGATTGATAACAAGTGTGACTTTGCATATGAAACCATGGGGACGATTGAAGTGCAAAGGTAATGTCAAGATGTTGTGTAAAGCGTCCTAAATTACTTTTGAAGTGATAGCAGTGCTTTAGATTTCTCTATGAATCTTAAGCCTCGAGATCTTCTCAGCAGAAGCCCCAAGTTCTGTTCTGTGACCTGCAGGGAAATCCTTCCTTTCTCAGCAGTGCATTTCTGCTGTGTGCTCTGGCAGATTCCCATGTTTCCCACCATCATACATACTGGACCTCATGCAAATGTGTCTGTGTATGTGAAAATACTCATACGTTTTAAATAACGTTTTGCTGATGGTAGTTGCTGGGTTTCCTGCGTGTCCAACATAGCCCTTTAAACGYCCCGTGCTGCGCCCTGGCCGCTGGTGCTGGGAGTGCGAGCTGGGCTCGTAACCGTGGCCTCCCCCAKGAGCTCTGCACCTTGCAAGGCCCTAGGCTGAAGAGCAGCGACTACGGCGCGCTCCGCGGCAGCGCGAGAGCTTGGGGCTGCTGGGCTTGTGGCAACGGCTGCTSCACGTGTTTAACGTGAATGTGGCGAGTGACAAAGAGCTTTGCCTGCTCTTCTGCGTCTACATATTTTCAGGCCTTGTCTTTGCTATAGGACTTTTCCTCTTGAGTGCCCGGCTGCCTGCAAGGGGGGAGAGAGTCCCTTCAGTTGGGAGTGGAAGACTTCCCACTRATGTCCTGGCCCTGTCTGTGTGGTCTCCCTGGTGTCCCATGGAGAAGGTGTTGTTCCACGCCACCCCTGGGAGGCTCGGAAGGGGAATGCTGCATAACAGCTGCCCTCAGCAGCCCTCCTGGCTTGGGGTGCTGCTCCGAGGGCCCCTCTCTGTGCCTCATCATCACGCGTCCTTAYGCTAGTCCTTGAGCGGATACTCAGAGTCCAGTAGGGAGGGGAAAAGAAGAAGGTGGGGGATGCAGCAGCTGCTTGGCTCTTCTCATTGGGCTGTGCTTGGGCTCGTTGCAGAGGCAACCTGGACAAAGCCATTGAGATGTTCAACAAAGCTATCAATCTGGCCAAATCGGAAATGGAGATGGCCCATCTCTACTCGCTCTGCGATGCTGCCTACGCCCAGACAGAAGTTGCAAAGAAGTACGGACTGAAGCCACCGACGCTGTAAAGGGACACGAGGAGGAGGAGACCTGCGGAAGCGAAGTTGCCCACTTCAGCCAGCCCTAGGGACGCTGTCGCCAACCATGCTGAATGGTGGAACTTAGTTTTTTCCCGTTCGTGGTGTTGTCATTTGTTACATCTGTTAAATGTTTAGGTGTTGTGGGAGTGGTTGTCCGAGGAAGTATGCAGTGTTGCAGCTTGTTCCTCCTGCAGCAAAGACCTTACAGCGCGTTAAGGGAAATAAAGTTGCAGGGGAACAAATGGAAGACATTTTTGGCCATGCAAATAAAAACTTGACATTGGTTCAGTTGGGGTCATTATGTTGTGGGCGATTTTTGCTTTATCAAGTAATTTTACAGCATGTTTTTTTTTCCTGATGATTTTAAAGGTAATACTAGCCAGTGCTGTAAAATAGGTTTCTTTTTTATATGCAGTTAATCCTTGAGAGTTGATTTTAATTTTGCAAAATTGAAAAAAAAAAAAATTTACAGAACTGTTTCATAATAGATTTTTTTTTTTTTTTTAAGCCAATAGCAGTGGAGAGAATCCCTGTAAATATTCCCAGGCATGCACAATCCTGCATAGAAACTACTTAGAAAGAGCCCTGTGGCAGCTAGTGGGTTCGCTTGGAGAGGCTGCATCCTCACCCCAGAGGGCTCCAGTGACCTGGAGCGCCAGAAGGAGCCGGCRCGGAGGCCGCGGCGGCAGGGACAGGGGCACCACCATGTTCCCTGGGRGCAGCCCCGTGTGGAAGGTGCAGGGCGGCCGTGGGGAGGAGCGGGAGCCGCGCGGGCAGGGACGGAGGCGCTCGACGGGCGCTGCCCCCGTGCTTGCTGCAAGGCAGCAGCYGGCAGAGCCTCCAGCCTCCCTGCCCCAGCCTCTGGAGGCTGCGGCCTTCTGGCTCAGTCCTCGCCAGCCCGTAGCAGGACTGGCTGGGGTAAAGGACACAAATTAGCCTGAAGTTCCTGATAAGGAATCTGGAATCTTTCCTGCTCTCTCTTGACCTGGGTATTGTCTAAGATGACGAAGGCCGCAGAAGCGAAGCGACAGCTCTGCAGCCAGCACTGTCTTTAACTGGCAAACATTAAGTAGCAGCATAAAGAGCTTCCTCTCCCTCGGGCTCTGTGCGGGGGTCTTTTTAGTTGGTCTTTTTAGTACTGAAGCCAGTCAGTCCATGCGGCCTCTCCACAGGCTGATGCGACTGATTAAACCTTCTGCAAACACCTCTGACTAGCTCAGCGTACACTGTGTTGGGTTTCTTCCCATCCTAAAAGTAACACTCACCCTGAATTTTCTAGTGTATTTCATCTCTTTAAAACAGTGAACCGAGCTGCGGTGAAGCTGCCCTGCTCTCAAGTTGTGGCACTGACGGCAGCAGTTTGCAGGCTGGGCTTGGCCTTGCTCTCTCGCAGCACCTGCAGAGGCTGCCAGGATGGGCCAGSTCTCCTGTGTCACCTCGCTCGTAGGTGGGGACGGGGATGTCACAGGGCCGCACAGAGCCCGAGGGACAGGACCGTGCAGGCAGCCCCTGAGGACACACTGAGGCCGGGCTGAGGTGCCCTGCTCTCCTGGGGAGTTTTTATTCGCATGGCCTTCTTTCCACTGGCGTTTTCTCCTCTTCATCTTTCCTTTCCTACTGCCTCGCCTCTCACCCCCCAGATCAGTTAAGGGAAAAAAGCATGTGCTGTCTATTACTTAGCATTCCAGATCATCACAGATTTTTTGCCTGTTCTTGAACTAGTTTGAAACTGCACTGAAAGGATGCGTTTGTAATTTTTTTTGTAAATGACATATCACCTGTAAACTCAGTGAATAAATATTACCTTCAAGTACCTCTCTTTGACACGTGTAAGAGCAGGTTTGGGTGAAAAGGCTGCGTAACACAGAGGAATGGCACAAACGGCAGGAAACGTCTCTGGGCTTGCCCAAGGTTGCTTGAGTCYGGGCAGAGCTCATGATGACCAAGTCCCTTCTGACTTCTCTCACCTGAAGACCCCAAATGAAAAATGAGGAAGAGCCGTGGGCTGAGCAAGTCTGGGATGGKGCAGGGCTAATGCTGAAGGCTGAGGGTTACTGGGGAGAGGAGATCCAGCCAAGAAAGCCAGGACTTGGAGTAGCTGGCAGCTGTTGTATGGAGGTGTGTTTGGCTCAGGCTTCTCTTTAGTATGATAGAAGGGATTGCTGGTTTTTAGTGTTATTTTTTAAAGGATGATGCAGTTCAAGCAAAACCTCCAAGACAAGAGCTCAGTGTGACGCTGGTACAATCGTGTGGGCAGCTGGTACTGAAGACAGGCATAAACCCCAGGTGTGGAAGAGCTCGGGAAGCGGCTTCCSCACATCGCAGCCTTCATCTTCATCCCGCTCGTGTCCAGTCCCTTCTGTCTTTGTTCAGAGGCAGAGAGGAGCTCGTCAACAAGGCACGAGAAGCTGTGAGTTGAAGCACTGAGATCTCCATGCAGGTGGGAGGTGGATGGAGGATGGCTAAAGTAGCTGAGCTCTAATTTAGTCTAGAGCTCTAACTTAGAGCCACGGCGCTGGTACCAACGTCCCTGCTGAAGCCAGGTACTCGGGGCACTGCTGTATTTTCTGCATTGCCTTTGAAAAGAGCTTAAACTTCAGCAAGGTGGCTGTGGGGCAGGTTTTGTATTTGTAGAATATTGGTGCAAATGTATATGTATAACCGGGTGACTTTAAAGTGCCTGTGTTCGGCCAATACTTCTTAAAAAAAAAAAAAAAAAAAAAAAAAAAAAAAAAAAAAAAAAGGTGCTGTTACTTTAGCTGTTCTCTAACCAAGGATTGATTATGCACTTTTTCATTTGGGAAAAAAAATAAAAATATCCCACAAGATCCCAGTCCCTGTGTATGCCTTCTGGCAGTGGAGTTACTGGAGGTGCTCAAAGAGCCCTGCTAGAATGGGATGTGGGGGTGGGAAACCAGCCTGCCTTGGACCGCACGTGTGTCCGCTCTGAGCACAACTCGCCCCAGGGGCCATTTCACGTTGCCACCTGCCGCAGGAGGCTGCTCTGGCCACAGCCCCAGCGGGCACTGTGTTCGTGTGCGTGCAGCCTGCGCCTGGCGCTAAGGGTAAATACCGAAGGGTTGCTTGCACCTGGGTTAGGGGGGACGAGCGCTCAGGAAGGCTGCGCTGCGTTACTCCTGCCCAGCCTGCACTGAAGGAGCTGGGGCAGAAAAAGGCTGGTGAGAGGAGCCAGGTGCAGGAGCTCAGAAATACGGGTCAGGATGAGCTGCTCTGGGTGAGCAGCTGGAGCCTTGCAGGGGCCCGCACTGGTGCTGATTGCTCGGGATGTGCAGGGGCTCCAACTCAGATGGAGAATTGCTCATTTTTTATATTTATTTTTTCAACCAATAAATTCTCATTTCACCTTACACTCTGTGACTCTTTTTCTTAGAGCTCCTCTATGGCCTATATACGGGAATGCCAGGCAAGCACAGATAGAGGAAGCTTGCTGGGAGGGAGCTGCCACAGGCTGCGGAATGTGGTGACCTGTCCTTTGAGGACATGAGGATCGTAAGGCGTTGGGGATAGCCTTAGTGTCTGGCTTAATTTACTCATTGCTTTCCATGGAGGTGGCTGGGGCTGCTAGAGGCCACATGCAGCTCAGTTCAGAGAAGTCAAAAGACCATCAAGGAACTATGGAGGCAACAGCTGTGGATCAACATGAAGGAAAAGGTAAGGTGGTTTGAGGAAAACTGGGGGGACTACGCAGAGGAAAACCTGCTCCCTGAGGCCATCTCTTTTCTTTGCCATCTCCTTTAGCCTCATGGCTTGCTTTAGCCTGGTTGCTACTGGAAAGCTAAAATCCTGCAGCAGAGGCTGGGGGTGACTGCATGGGCTGCACSTGCTTCTCACCTCCGCTCTCCTGTGAGAAAAAACACCAACGGCGATTCTTGTTTTTATTAGTGAGAAAGAGCAGTGCCAAGGTGGCTTCCTGGTGGGCAAACAGCTCTCTCAAAAACTGGCAGCCTGGTTCTGAGTATCTCAAAGCCATCCTTAATAACTGATCAGTTGTTTTTCTAGCCAGAGCAGTGGAGTAAGGAGGGCTTCACATGCAGTCAGGAGAGCTGGTTTCTGACAGGGATAGGTTATTCCACCCATCAGGTAGTACCTGCCTTTCTGCTACCCGTCACCTGTGAGACCAAGGGCAGAGAGTCTCAGTGCAGTTCGTTTTCCATCCTTTAACTGGCTCTTCTCATTGCAGCCTTGTAAGCTGAGCACTGCCAGGCATTCGAGTCAATGCAGGCACAGCACTAAGGCAGCTGTGGCGTTTGGTTTTATTTTCATTGCTGTGTTACTGTTGCTTGAGCTGGCAGCACAGAGCAGCGTTGGCAGCAGTTGCAGCGAGGGGAATGTCATGCTGAGAATGCCCAAGAGCTCGGACCTGTTAGGGATCCCTCTAGAGCAGCTGCCCTCCTCGTGCATTGTCACCAGACAGCACAGAGCAGAAAGTGGCCCCTTTTCCTACTGGGTTAAAACTGAAGCTGTAAGTGCCCCTTGTAACTGGGCGCTTCTGTGTCCCTCGGCTGCCTGCTTAGGTGTGCACTGCTTGGGCGGGAGAAGTTGTGCAGAATTCCGGGCTGCTTGGCAACTCACTGAGCCATTCAAGGCACTAAGGCCAGCGTTGCAGGCTCCCGGCAGGACACAAGGGTGCCATTCCCACTTCCTACAAATAGAAGTCTCAGAGAAACTTAGAAAACAGCAGAGATGATAAGCAGTGCTTAAAATTGTGATACCTAAACAACAATGTTGAGTTCAGATGATTCGACTTCTAGCTTTGTCCTAGTTGTTAACTACTGCTAAAAAAAATTATATATATGTTGGCTCAGAAGCTCTATTTCTCTTTTCATTTTTTAAAATTAACTCTCCCAGGGGGCAGCAGCCTCCGGAGCAGCCAGGTGGGGAAGGCTGAAGGGGAAGGCAGCAGCTGTGGTGCCCCCTCGGGAGCCTCCCCTTCCCCCAGCTTCACTTTTTCCCCTCCACGCTGTACAGATCCTTGCGCTTCTGCTTCAAAACCGGGATTTGCTCGCGGATTTCCGCAAGCTTCTTCAGATCTGCAGGGAGAAGAAACAGCCCTGAGAAGATGGTCAAAAAGAACTGCCAAGTGCCCAGGAAAGGAGCAGCTTTCACAGCGCCTGTCCCTGTTGGTCCCTGGACTAGGCAGCCAGAGCCAAATAAGCCCAGGCTTGCTCTTGCCCAATGAGGGAGGTGACCTTAGTGCCAGAGTCTCCTCCTATAGGAGAGGGAAGCAGGGAAACCCTGCCAGCTTACCTATATCTGCGTACAGAAGGGCCTCCTCGGCGCCAGCCTTGGCAATGACCTCCCCCCTGCAACAGGAAGCACAGCTGTTGGCAGCATTGGCACAGGGGTGTCAAGGCAGCAGCACAGCGGCTGGCATTCGTACAAGGGCAGGGCTCCCCTTGTGGAGCTGGGGCTGGAGAGGCAGGGTTGTCCTAAAAATAGCACAGCAATTCCGCACTCCTGGCTTTGCTGGCCGCTCTGGCACACGGGAAAAAGTAACTTAAATCAGAACGGGCCTTGTCTCATTGAAGACACTCTTGCATTTCCTGTGCCCAAGCAGGGTTGCTCTTTGAGGAGGTTAAGCAGCTTTGTGCAAAGATTATATATGATTCTGTTCTGGACAGACACTTATCACACTACATAGTATAGAACAGCATGAATTTCAGGGACAATCTGAAGTCAGCAGCTTTACTAATACCCGATGTTACGGAAGTAGCTTCTGTGCTTACAGGGAGAATGCATATTGTTAAACTAGTTTTACTGGCTATCTTAAAAAAAGTATGAAAAAGATGACTGTGAAAGCATAGCTTATTGCAAGCTTGTCTGTTTTTGTCACTAAGCCCCCAAGCTGCATGTGGCTGCTGCTTTTAACTAAAACTTAAGATGTTTTTAGAAGTGAAAATGTGAGACTGAAATGTGACTGCCACGTTAAACACTTTTTTAATCAAGAGAAAAGTATTATTTTTCTGAACTCACCATGGATTTACTACCGTGCTGTGTCCCCAAGCAATGTAGGAAGCGTTTTCATCTCGAGCAGGAGAAGCAGTAGCTACGTAGACCTGATTATCAAGAGCTCTGTGTTCACAGAAGACAGGGAAGAAGAAGAAAAAGTCAATGACATTTCTTCACATCACCACTTAACTAGGCAGAAGAGAAAGAAGTCAGGCTGAAGGGGCGAGCTCTACCTCCTTTGGAAGAGTAGCCAAAATCATCAATAACAAAGGACAGAGAGAAAACAGAAAGCTTAGAAAGAGAAGTCTCTAGCACCTGCCCCCACAGTTAGGCTACAGTGAGTTACGTATTTTTTCAGTAGGCAGGAAAGGTGAGTGAAACTAAACATTAATAATAAACTTCATTTCCGTTTAAGTTAAGGAAAGAATGCTGCAGTCAGGAGCCCCGGGGTTCGTTTCTGTCTTTTCTTAGAGCAGAAGGGCCTGTGTGACCGGTGCTCACAGTCTCCAGGGCACAGCTGTTGGCAGGAGCGAAGGCCGAGCAATTCTTGCCTTCCTCCTGGGCAGCCCAGTTTGGGGTCCCCTTCAAGGCCTGTGCAACTGTGACCCCGCAGGGCTACTGGTTCAGCACAACGTGGCTTAGAGTCCAAGCACAGTTCAGCCCTATACACTGAACCAGGAGCACAAGCTGGGAACTTGCCCTTACCGTCCCCTTTGCAGCAGTTCCCAGTGGGCTGGTCCTGTGGTCAAGTTAAAAGCCCCTGGATACACCAGCAGTTGGCAACCTGTGTTAAAAGAAAGTCAGAAGCCAACTATCATTAAGGGGGAAAAACAGTTTATCCTCCAGCCACCAGTGCGGGGGGTTAAGGAAGCTTTCTGTCACTGTTTATTGCCAGCCTTCTGGCACCACAGTCTGCATTTTGTATTATTTGTATTATTTGTGGGGTGCCTGATCCCGCTAGGATAACCCGCTAGGTACCATCCTGGCCCAGCTCTGGCCTTGGGGCTGCCCCAGCCTCACCTTTCTGCCCGTAGATCTGAGCCAGCTCAGCAAACCTCATGTCGTAGCAGATGCCCAGGCCCACTCTGCAGAACGCTGTCCTCAAAGCACAGGAGACAACAGTCACATCACTGCCCCACGCACACAACTGAAATCCACCTGTCCCTGGAGCCACCCTGCCAGCTGTTCAGGAACATGTGTCCCAAGCACCAAGGAGAGGCATATTTAAATGCCTCTCCTTATCTGCAGCAAGCACCAGGAGGAGTAGCTGTGTCACACRTGCATCTGAGGTGGTTCATGCAAAAATGTTGAAATGGGTTTTACAGTTAATTTTTTCCCATTATTGTAGCAGCTTCACGTGCAACAATACGCTAGTGTAGCTGCTTGCTACATAAAAAACATGGCTTGGAAAGGAATACAAACACTGTTTACACAGATGTAATTTCTATTTAAAAAAATGATAACTTCTAGAAATCAAGAAACCTTGCTTGTTAGCAGAAGCACCATGATGGCTGCTTCCTCCTTTTCTACTCTTCTGGTCCTTCTCAATCAAACTGCCTTTACAAAGAGTTTCAGAAGCGCTTTGCACATGTGAAATAAACCATCTCTATGGGCCATGGTGGTCAAGGCCCGAGATAAACGCAACCACCTAAGAGTGCTGCGGGCTGAGGKGAGAGGATCTCCACAGCACAGGAGCCCCAAACCTGTCCCGCTGCGCGCCTGGCCAAGAGGGTTTGTCTGGTACTCACGGGTATCAAACGTAGCCAAAGTGTTGCCGGGACTCAGTGTTTCCGAYTCTTTGAACTGTATCTTCCCAGGAACATTAATGTCAAACAGATGAATCTGTAATTAGAGTGTTATGAATAACAATTAAGAGCAATTTCTCCGCTTGGTCTGAGAGCTTGTTCACGTTAGAACTGTGTATTTTCTAGGTAACTTCACCCAGACTACTCACTCTCTTGCCAGGATCCCAGCTAACCACTGCTGAAGAATTAAATCATCTTTGGGAGATGTCACAGGTAGTTTTCTTCTCTACATGTCCCTAAGTTATTTTGGGAAAAAAGATACTGGGCATTTTAAACATCCCATCTAACTGCTGTATACTACATGTATACCATGTTGCTTACCAAGCAGAATGCTCAGTTCTTATACCATGCAATAACAGTAGGTAAAAACAGCTAAAATATACAATGGACTTGGTTGCAGTATGCATTCACATCTTCAAGGAAAGAATTCCTGCAAACTAGCTACCTTTCTTGATCTACTGAGCAGTTTTGAGACAGAAGGGCTACATATTAAATGTCTTAAGCTTGCCAGGATGATCTTAAGTGCAGAATGTTAAAGGATAGGGTAACTCCTTTCTCTTACAGGGTGAGAGTCCCATTCCTCCAAACTTCTTCAGAAATTACCCTCACAAAGTCATCGAGCTCCCATCATTTCAGCTATGCAGATGTGTCTTGGTCTTTGCAGTCATTCCCTCTGCCTTGCAAAGGAGAGCCCTGTTCCTGAGTGGGACCTCTTAACACCGAAGCTGTTTTGGTATTAGGATTACTTCCTAGGCTCAGTTCAGCACTTGCGCAGATGAGTCCAAAGGGCTGCCTCCAGGTTATACCTACAGCACACAAACATGTCCAAAGAACGGTCTCTGTGATCACAGGACTAAGTCCATTGGGAATGTGAGGAAAAAATCCTGATCCCACTGAAGTGGCACTAGATTTCAGACCTTATCCAATGTAAAAAGGCAAACTGAGTTGAGTTGGAATTTACTCTTTATAATAGATTTCTCAGCACATGGGACAAGTCTTTTGTGCCCTGTTATCTTTATCCAGCATATGAGAAAGGCTATTTTCATGTCCTTAAGAAAAACTGCACACCCTTATTAATCACAGGACATTGCTTATTCTTCCTGCAAGATTTTCCTGTTCACAAGGTCTTTATGAGATGAAGTTAATGGTGCCTTCTAAAAACAAGAATGCAGTATCATTTGGGGGGGACAATGCAGCTAAATGCTGTCCACACCAGTACGAAATCTTCTAATAAGAACACTCTGCCACCTTACCTTCCTATACTTGGCCAACATAGCTCCATCAGGCCCAAAGACAGTACWTGTATTATACAGCTTTCCACCATCCTCTTCCGGAATGGATCCTTTATTAAGGCAAGAACAAGGATTTGGCACTATAATATAGAGTTTTGATGCACCTGTACAAATAGGCATGGTCCATTTTCCCACTTTCCTCCTTCAAAGAGACAGTGACGAGAAATAAGGTACCTCCAACAAGATAGACGTTACACTCCTTCGCAACTTCTGAGAGTTTTTGTGTCGATTCTCCAGGGATCTTCTCTGCATATTCCTTGAAGTAGTGGGTTCCATAAGGAGAGTTAAAACATTCCTGGAATTGGAAAAAAAGAAAGAAGTTAAAATCTGCTACCACCAGCAGGTACCCGTGGACTTTCAAACGCCTCTGCTAGCACCATTCTCATACGACCCTCAGCTTCACAGGAGCTTGTTGAACAGTTCTGCAAACACCAGAGAGGCAACAGACAATGTGACAACTGGGGACAATGTAGTTGGGGAACTGGTGCAAACACGATGTGGGCAGAACTGAGCCGGGAGTATCAGGCAAGCTGTTAGTAACAAGGGCAGCATATTTAGCAGTCCAGACTTAACAAGATTACAAGGAATCTTCTCAGAGCCGTGAAGCAAGTCCCATCCAGCTCATCTGACACTTTACATGTCAAACTGATTCTTTCAAAACCGTGAAATTCTTGTGCTCAGCCACACCCTACATTTTATTGTTTATACAACCTCTTCAAAATACAGATTTCTCAAAATCTTTTGCTACAGCAATCCTTTAAATATTATTTCCCCACAGCTGAGCTGAGCTTTCTGGCTTAGACTCTAGTTAAAGATTTGCCATCTCTCAGAATGGGCGATGTAATCTTTAGACAGTAAGACTAACAGAGCGCTTTAGATGCCAAGGGTGGTTGATGGTATTTGAGAGGCCCAAGACATCCAGAACTCTGGCAAAGCTACATTTGCCAGCCCTGCATGGACCCGAGACCCCTGCCTCCCACATTCTTATGAACTAAAGATCTGAACAAAGCTCTTTTTTTTGCCATACACACACAAAAAAAAACAATGTGGGTGGCAGTAAAACCACAGTGCTGTACTGTAAGATAACACTGGAACATGACTTCACACTACTTGCATGGATCCTCCTAGTCCTGTGCTCTGCCCAGTGGGAAGAAGGTAGGGATAGACCTTTGACTGCCTTCAGTTTGTTGCTTGATTCAAACAGGATTTGTTATTTATTGATCTATAAATATTATTATAAATATTGTTTTTGTCCAACACATCTCCAGATTCGGAAGTGAAAAAACATTACCCATGGGAGCAGCATGTCATAGGCAAACTGCCGTATGCCTCTGCACGGCACATTCAGTGTAAGTCTCTGTGAAGGGTGACTTTCAGAAAGGAAAAATATGGAGGGAAGAGCCTCCTTGTGGCAATAAAATGTTTACCTCCCCCAAACCTGTGAAAGACCTTGTTTGAGAGGACTTATTTTATGAAGTATCATTAGCACGATGAATCCCTGCTAAATAGGGCCAGAAACATCAGTCCACATTTGTCCACATCACAAAACTAGCAAATAATCTTGGTGTAAGGGGCCCAGACAGGACAGTCAAAGGTCGTAAGTGCAACACCAGCGCTGTGTTGGTACAAAGYGGCACGGCAGCTTGCTCAATACCTGGCCTGTGACAGCAGCATGGGGAATATTCTTTGGGTAAAAAATTCCCACCTAAAGATCACCCCACTATGAACTTTGCACTCCCAACGCAGATGCTGCAGGGCACGGGGTAACAATTTTCCTCAAAAGAAAAAATCTCCCAGCCACATTGCAACACTGCCAACACACATGGCCAGGGCAATCATGAGTGAAGTCCCAAGGGCAGACCAGAATCAGTCAGCAATTTTAAGTGCTGATCGTGTTCCTACAYAAGCACGCCATGGAAGAAAGGCATTTTAATGATAATTCAGCCACAAACAACCTACTGGAAATGTCTGAAAGTCCGTTTTATTTCTCACATGCTGCCTAATCTGAAAAGGTTGTGGCAAGGAGACAAACTGGGTATTGTTTTTACTTTCATTACATTATTTTTACATTATTTTGCTAAAAACCCACATCTTTTCCTAAATACTTTCTTCAAAGATAGAAGCCATAAAGTCACTTTTGCAATTCTGAACAAACCAGTCAGGGCTGATGGAATTGCCAGAGATTTAAAACAGCACAAATTTCATTAGAATCTCATCCCACTAAAATAAATATACTAAACTAAACTGAAAGAGAACTTGCCAGCTCCAGCTGCTTGGGTCTCCTCGCTCCTACTAGATACAGCCTGGTATGTTCATTCCTGTTCTTTCTTGTTTTGCAGCCTGTTACAGTATTCAAGCATACCCAGAAAGAAAAGGGAATATAAACATGTGATTAGCCCTGGAAAAAGAGCTTTCCAAGGGCTTGAGGTGTAAGATTTTTAAATGCAAGGTCTTCACTCACAGGCAGCGCCACAACCTTGGCGCCTTTGGCGGATGCTTCTTTCACCATGCCGCAGGCTCGCTGCAGGTTGTCTGCTTTGACGGTAGATACCTGCAGCTGGATGAGCGCCAGCCGGAAGTCTAGAGACAGAAAAGCAGCAATTAGCCAGTGCAATCCCCCAGGTAGAMCACTTCAAAATTTGAATTCATGGGTAGGTGTGGAACTAAATACATTTGCCTATGCTTAGGGACATCATGCATACATCTACCACTTCCAGCTCATTACTCAGTCAATATCTGTCTCTGGAAACAGGCTCTGAACATGGGGGAACACTCAAACCTTGCCTTGTCACGTGGGAACCACAGACATCATCACCTGGCTCTGCTCAGAGCCCGCATGGGTCACGTGCTAGTAACAGGGCAGATCCCCCTTAGSCCAGGAAGCATCAAAGCCAAGATCTTATGCAAAAAAGCAGGTGTGTAATGGCAAGCAGGACAGGAAACTCCTCAGCAGTCTAGACCACCTTCTTCCTTCCCAACTTGCTAGATGTTTTGTTGGTGTGTCTCTTGCCTGTGCCCACCACCACATGCCCTGCATCTCTTAAAATGCTGCAAGGGAACTAATAGATGGAGATAATCCCAAAACACCCAGAAAAGAGGTTTGCTTTTATTTGTCAAATGTCACACCAAATATATGCCTGGAAAATGGGTATGAGGAGCCATTGAACAGCAGAGGTAACAACTGCATGGGCCATTTCTTTATAGCTGAGTTTCTGGAAAGGCAAAGATTCAAGTGCTATCAACATGGTCTCTATTGTGACTAAACAGGATTTATATTTGCAGGAGTCTCCAGGTTACAAGACCTGGAGAGATCAAATCAAGCTTTGCGGGTGCCCCTGACACTACCTCTCATGAATCTCCCTGCACCTTGGCCTTCATAAAAACACCTGCTCACCAGGTAGAGCTGTCTGCCTTTAAACAAAAACACGGTGCCTTTATAAAGGAAAAAATCCCTAGGTTTAATGCATCTCTCTTCTGACAACTCTCCTGTTGTACAAAGACAACTTTGGGATAAAGCAGCAACTATGGCCAGGGATGCAACAAGGCCTGACCTTGAGGAAGACTGGATCATGTCAGGATCACTCAGGCAATGTCTTTCCTTTGCTCTTCAGCTCTTAGTTCAGTAACCAACTAGCTAATTTTTAAAAAAATGAGGCAAATGACCAATCTGTGATTCTGCCGCTACTTGAGAGATTGCCTGAATATTTAGCTTAGTGAGTAAACAAAGTTTTCYGGAGACTAGACAGATGCAAATGCAGGCAGCTTTTTATTCCATTTAGGTAGCAACAACAGCAGTTTGAATCTTTTCCTTCGATAATTCAAGGGATGCAGAGAACCAGACCCAAAGATTTATACTTCAGCGTGAGCTCTGCTTTTGCAGAAAAGCAAGAGAGCATCTCCTAGATAAAACTGTACCTGTCTTCCCTGCTCTAGTGAGGAAAAGCCATTTAAATACCTATGTGAGAAACCACTCATCTCAGGCTCCCTGTRCCTCGGACGTGGTTTGTAATAAGTTTGTAAAAAGGGCAAAAAAAAGGGCACAGAGCAAAGTGCAAGAAGAGGCACAAGATCCTGAGCTGTTCCAAGAAAAGACCGTTTCATAAGCAAATAAACCAARATCAGTCCTTAGGGCAATGCTACAGCGGCACAAACCACAACCAAGGTAGCAGCACGCTGGAGTATAACATTTCCCTGCCACTCTGAAAMATTTTTCCCCTTTCCTCTCCTTGGAGAACAGCACAGACCGAACGGGTCGGACCACCCGGGCATAACCCGCTCCCTCCGCGGGTGGAGCCAGTAACGGCCGCTCCGCGCGCAGACGGGGGGGCGGATTGGGGTTGGGGGCAGTAACGGCCGCTCCGTGCGCAGACGGGGGGGGGTGGGGTTGGGGGCAGTAACGGCCGCTCCGCGCGCAGAGCGGGGTGGGGGTCAGTAACGGTGGCGCGGCGCGCGCCTCCGCCGCCACTCACTGGCCATGGCTCCGCGCGCCGGCTGCATCCCCACGTCACCGCCCCGCCCCCAACCCGCCCCTTATAGCGCGGGGAGGGGCCGCGGGGCGCATGCGCGCCGTCCCGCCGCACGGGCTGCTGGGAAAGGTAGTCCCGCCGGGCCAGGCCCGGTGACGCGAAAAGGCGCGAGGGAGACACGGGCCTCGGTCATGAAGTACRTGAAAGCGCGTGGGGCTGTCAGGAAAGCTTACCAGCAACATACTAACARCAGCCGGGCACCACGGGGCAAAAACGCCTCTAATCTGTGCGCGCAGATATATAAAAACAATTATTTATAGCTGGGACTGAGCTTTGTGYCCTAAGGAAGCTGTTGACAACTTGTACGTTACCTTAAGAATTATAAATACCCTCTTAGTGGTTGACATCACAGMTCTCTACCCAGAAAAGTTTAAAACAGAGTTACTGTAAATCTAATTCTGGTAGCTGTAGAGCTAAGAGGTCTCTATTTGTTGACCTGACAGAGAAGCATATCCACTTTCCATATCTAATAACCAAATATGCCAAATATTTTTCACCGTAATTCACTTATTGAACCTATTGCAAATACTTCTGCTACCCATTAAACACTTAGACCTTTCAATTGCTCCCAACCAGTCACATTTGCAGAAATGTGTTTTTCTCACACTAAGGACTAGCAGCAAACTAGCTGTCCAAACCAGCAGAATAGTGTCACATTAATATTTTCATAGTATAAAAYTGTGATGCTGAAAGCTCTGAAACTAATACAGAAACCTGCTGAATGATGTGACCCTTCGTTAATTCTCATTTTGACATTGCTATGAATATTGACCCTGGTTCATCCAAAAACAATCAGTAAAATTAGTCTAAACTCCAAGTGAACTGTATACTTACATAAGGTGTCACTGACAGCAGTTTCCTACGATCCATAATCAACTTTTCTTACTCCAAATATCATATTCAGTTCCATTTAAAACATACCTTTAGGAAACACTGTTATTAGATCCACAGAAGCCACACAACATACAACTTGACACTTGCTTTAAGAACAAGTTATGTTCAAATTTTACTGGTTTATTTACAACTGTAGTTTATAAACAGTAACACAAACATTTGTACATGAAAAAATCTCATTGCTGAAGTAGGCACAGGGTCAGATACTCTTCATATTCTCAGAAGGGTGTAGGAAAAGGAAAAAGTAATACGACAGCTGCAAGGGAAAACTATAAATACATGAGCACTGGCCCAGGTGCAATTTCATGCAAATATCTTTAACAGTTCCAAGTTCTATTGGTGTTTACTCAGATACTAAGAAAGAATAGGCGATATTAAAAAAAAAAAAAAAAGAAAAAAGAAAAAAGAAAAAAAGTCCCAGAATTAAGGTGCCTCAGCTTGATTCCTAGTAAAATAACTTAGAATAGCTGTTTTTTATAAAGGTCAGTTTCATTAATTTGATCTCATGAGTTGTACCAGTCCATGGGTTTTGACTCAACTACTCAAAAGACCCTGCAAAATACAGCTAATCCTATTCACCATTATCCCACAGTTTTTGCAAATTTGCACATTCCTGGACTAGACTTGATGGCGAGACAACCACCCCTGGATGAAGCAGAGAGCTGCAGATGCACAGTAGTAACACAGTTGCAGGTCTCAAGCACCACCTTCTTTAGAAGATGCTAATTAAAGAACATAAAGCTATGATTAAACCAACAAAAGCAAAAGGTCCTGAATACATTTAGCACAGACATACAGCACTTGAATCACTGTGTGTGTTTAATTTTCTTGCAGAAAAAGACATTCAATAGCATTTAAACTCTGTGTTGAAGGGTTTTTTTTTCTTCTTTTTTCTCTTTCTTTTTTTAAACAACTCCAATTAATAGCTTGGACTTTTCACTTCTGAGGATCCAGAATATTTGCTGACTGTTATATTTTGTTATGAAGCATAAACTCCAACCTCACTCTACGCTCACTTTTACATGAGAAACCGTCTCAACCCATGAAATGTAAAATTTTGCATAATTACAAGCTTGCACACCTGTATGAAGCTTATCAGTATGTACAATTCAGCTTGGTATTTTAAAATGCACTTACCAATTCCAATTATTTAACCTAGTAGGACATCTTAAAAAGTTAATTGCACAGTATTTTTTTTTTTTTCATTCATCTGGAGTTCCAGTGCACTTAAATAGATGCAATCACTTTTAATGAGAAGAAAGCAGTATTTCTAAGATTTTACCTTCTCTGTTTACAAACTGGAGTGTCTTTAATCAGTCCTTGATACTGTCCAGGAGGCAAAATCAAATTTAGAAACTGCAGGTTATGGAGATATTTTACTACCAGACATCTGAATCATGTAAGACAGCTTTGTTTTCTACTGTTACTCCATACCTGACAGTTCTACTTTCTTTTAACGCAGTCATATGAACACAACTACATTCTCTATCCTCTCTTACAAAGATGCATATCATACACATTAAAGCTTCTTTAAAAGTGAAACAAACTGACCTTTATAATAAACATTTCTGCAAAACCAGAAAATATTAATCAAAAGAAAAATTTAAAAACTGCTTAGAAATTGATAATAATTTACCCTATCTTAAGCCTGCTATTCAGGTACTTCCATTAGCAAACAGAAAAATTCTCTTAAGTTAGTATTCAGTTGGGAAGGTGTGAGCCTGTGTCCACATACAGTATCTTGGTTGCTTCTTCTTTRCAAACCATTCTCTGAAAAGTCTTTAGTTATCAGCTTTCCAAGGCATCCAACACTTTCATGATCTGTTGTTTTATGGCTTTGGTAGCATCACCTGCATTTGGAATCAAATACCTTAAAAAGAAGGAGAAAAAATAAAATCATTTACTATGAAGTCCAYAGTTCTTGCCTTGATTTTTTCCTCCAGGAAGGTCTAATGTGGAAAGAGAAGGAGAAGCTACCAAAACAGAAAAACTACTGAGGAAATAAGATTTACTTCTAATTTATACCAGGGAATGTTTTCCCTATGTGAGCCTCGCACTGCTGAGGACTACTTCAGAGGCTATCCTAGAAATGATACGTCCATGAACTGCCAAAGGTACAGAATAGATAGCTCAAAATCTCTCCCAGTGCCAGCACTGCCTTACTGATGCACGGCAGCCTCTCTTATTTTAGCTACGGTGTCTGATCTTCTACTCAACTCATTTCTTTCTGATCCACCAACTGGGATTACCTTCCTTGTCAATTAGGAAACTCATCACCCACTTCACGCAGGAACAGCGCCCACTGCACACCGTTCTCCCCAGGTAAAAGGGTAAGGAAACAACCAAGTATGTCAGCAACTTCGTTCAGGGATCCTGTTGAGGGATCTCTTCCACATCAGTGTAACTGCTCCTGAATAAAGACTTACTTTCGAAGCCAGTTCTGGGGAGCCCAGCATGCCGCTGAGCTCCAGCACCATGTGCCCCACTGCTCTTCGTATTGCTGCTACAGGCACGGCTTACCTTTCAACTGCCAAAATTTCTATGCCTGAAGTATTGCTGTTCCCGTATTTAAAGGTGATCAGTTCTGGATGTTTCTTCTTGGATGTGATTTTGACTACGGAGTTCAGTGCCTGGCGAGACTGGATGTAAGCCAATCCCTTCCGCGACGGTATCTCCCTCAAACAGTACATGTGCGTTGCAGTGACGAGCAGGTGACTTGAAGGGAGAAAAAGACATAAAATAAGCTTGCTAATTAACTCGATATCAGCTTTTTAGAAAGATAAACTCATTTTCTTTTTTTTTAACTAGCTCGTACTATAATGTAGCCATAGAGTTTAAGTCCAATAAGCAGTCTTATACTTCAAAAACTTCATTTAGAAAGGAGAACAAAACACTTCAGATGTTCAAGAATGGAATCATGCCACATTTCAGGCCACTTTCTTTTTTAAACAAAGAAAAACCTAAGATTTTTTGTGTGTTTACTAGCATTCTATTGCATAAAAAATATAAGAAATATTATAATGAGTAATATTTTGCTCGAAGTTGTCTCAACTTCATTTTCCAGTTTAGTATCAAGAAATAATTTAACAGTCCAATAATTAAAAATATAAACATATATCTACCTTGACATTTTCATAAAGTTTAAAACCRATTCAAGTACCTGGGAAACATATGTCCATTTTCTTTTACTTCATTACAGGGGAAATTATACTTCACATCAGGCTTATTTATCCACGTTTGGATGTTGACAACCTCTTTTCGATCATCATCTGACATTGAGGAGCTATCAATTTCATCTGTTTTGGACATGAAGTGGTTACAGGAAAAATAAATAAATTAGAAAAAAAAGAAGAAATAATTTTCATATGATGTCAGACGCCTTTCAACTCTCTTAAAACAATTAATAGCTACTTGGGTTCAAAAGCAGGGTCTGTTTCACTCCCTGTCATATATCCAGTAGCATCCATAAAAAGATGCTCAAAGGGAAGAAAAAACGAAACATGAATGTTCAACATTTTCCCATTAATTCTATCTCAGAATACGAATATTTTCAGCTCAGGGTATTCCTTAAGGTTGGGCAATTTGTCCATTCATTAAACTTCAAAAGATGAACGTACCCAGGTACATGCAGCCAAGTACRTGCACCTAAGTACACTCCAGCTTTTCACTGAACTCAGACAGAGTTTAGCACCCCAAAATACCAAAACCTTGTGGCAAGGTGTTGTCAGGAACATTCCAGGTGATTTTGCTAATTTCCCTATAATGAACTATATTTCTGAAATTATATAAACCTTTTACCACTCACAGGATCTTAGTGATAAMGAATTGTGCAAACAATTATATGCACTTGGAGAAGAAGCTTCTTAGTGTTGAAGCTTCTACTTTCTAGTTTCATTTGTTTCATCTTAATTCCTGGCAGACAGACAGTGATTGATTGTTTCTCATCAATCTTAAAGTAATTCAGATTTTATAAACCTATTAATAACATTCATAAATTATTTCTTTTCCAGATGTCAGATTCCTAGTCTAGTTATCTGTTTCTCATTTGGAAGCTGAATATGTCTTTGGATTACAGGAGAAGAGCTACCTATGAAAAGATGAGGGMGCCAGTGCGGCCAGAATAGAAGCACAAGAGAACAGTATTTGGTCCTCACCATTCTAATATGAGCAGTTATCACAGAAAAAAAGTGTGGTGTCCAGTTTTTCCCCAGTAATTTATCAACTAGCTCAAATACATAAACRATTGCAAGCATCTTCTACGACATCCTACGGGTGTATCAAGAGATGAGCCAATTAGATAGATTTGACATGGAAGAGGTTTGCACACATCAGTCATAAGTTTAGCTCCTGAGTGTACTTTTAAAATGCAGATACGTATGCAAACTGTATCCTCTTCAGATTCAACTGGGGAGCTACCAGGTAGAACAGGTCCCTTAAATTTTGCTTGCTATTTTGAATAGAAAGGGAACAAAAAGATCAGCACAGAAAGAAACAAAACAAACAAACAAACAAACAGGTATTTACACAGGAAATACTGAGGGAACACAAAGAATCCACCAGACCATTTGATTCCATTTGTTCCTGTTGGTTGGCTGAGTCCACCACAAAGGTTTTTTGATGGTGTTTGCTACTATATATTCAAATAATGAGTTTCTCTTCTCTTTTAATGAAATTATCTAAATGGGATAATCTAGTTAAGAGGAAGATCTCCTACTGTACCTGTATCATACTCTTCTTCATCGCCAATGCTGAACACTGGCTTCACGCCACGGTAGGGCTTTCCCACCCTGTCACTGCTGCTGATGTGTCTGCAGTGGAAGGGGCAGGACAAGACCAGGGATGGGAGGAGAGAAGAAAAGGAACTTTCAGACAGATGGCATAATTCCTGTAAAATAACATGCATCAACAAAACACATAACTGTGCAGCTGAAGAGGGCATAAAGCTGCCTGCAGGGAAGCTGGGACTGACCCACCACACAACTGGGTTAGTAATTCACAATCACTTGGCAAGGCTGAATACTGCACCGAACACACCAAAAAGCAGTACTTCTTTGTTTTAAATGCGGCTTCTGATGACATTCTCAAGCTGCAAAATATGTTAGGAGACCTGAAATCTGAAGAAATGCTATGAAATTTATAGTGCAAAAGTCTGAGCTCTGTGTGAAACGTTTCTCAACGTCCAGGACAGATTTGCAAAGATGCTGAATTCAGGTGGAGGAAAAGTCAGCAAACACTAACTAACGTATCCAGGTATTTTTTTTTTTCCTCTGGCAAACGAGTGATTCCTGAGAGACACTCTCTCCAAAAGGTGATAAAATACCTTAAGAATTTCAAAGTGATATAGTGTGCATCCCAATTCTTGTTCACTATTTCAACCCAATCCTATCTTTGGCCAAACAATCCCTGCTGGAAATTGCAGAATCACTTGGATTTCTGCATAGATTCTAAATATAAAAATCGGATTTAAATGCTTCTAGAGATCACGTTAAACTACACATACAAATAGGATTTTGAGCCTCAAAGTTGGGCAGCAAGAGTTGCCAACTCTTGTAATATTCCATCGCTAAATGTCAGAGTGACGAGACCGCACGAGATGTCACAGCTGTCACCTTAAAGCTTCTGGCCCCTCAACTGCAGAGAAATATCTGAGAAAAAAAWATATATATATACATATATACATATATAYATATATTTCCTTTACACTGTAAGCACTCCTCTTGGCTTTAAGGCTTTCCACATGCTGCAGTTGTGCATGTTACTGTAGAATCAAGGTTTCAATCTGAGACGTTGCTTCCTCAGTGATACATAGGGAAATGCTTATACTTTGGTATATCTGAAAGCATACTTGAACGTTTAAAACGGATTCTACATTTTACATGGTTAAAATTCCCTAGCATAGCTAGAATGAGGAGTTGTTAAATAGGGAAAAAGAAACAGAAAGGCGTTCTGCAAAATACAAAAATACACATATAAAACCATGCTTATTAGTGCTTGAGACAATAAGCATCAATGACACTGACAATTCAGGAGGGCAGTGCTCCTAGATGTAGATTTGCCTAAATACGAACTTTCTGTAGGAAACTAGGGGTTAAAACCTTAACCATAACCAATTTAGTAAGCAGATATATGTCTAGAAGGGTTGAATTGAAATGCAGACAGGATTTAAGAGGAAGCTTACTGGCAATTTCTAGAGCAAAGTTAGTCAAGATGAAAAAGGAAAATGTTACTCGATAAAAACATGTAAACATCTTAAACTAGAAATGAACCTCTCTCAACTTGTTTGCATGGAATGCTATCATTAAATTCTTAATGCAATTATGTTCAAACCTGCATTATGTTCAAACCATTTTGCAAACCTGCAAAATGAAGTTCATTGGTGATAAACACAAAGTGAATCTGATGAAAGGATGGGGATAAAAATTTCATTCCAGGTTTTTTCTTTTTAATTGGAACCGCAATTTAAGAGAGTAGTCTAATGATGCAAAGTCTGAGTTTATTAATTTATTAASTTCCAAATGGAAGGAGACAGTCAATCTCAGTGAAGACAGCCCTCTCCAAATCAGAGTGATTACAAATACAGATTCTGGAGCCTTTCAGTAACTAGGCACAAGGCGTTTCAGCTGGGATTGTTACACTTTCTTACTACCTTAGAGCAATCAGTCAACAAATAGGAGGGAAAAATCCTCGTTAACTTTAGGATTTTTGAAGTAACAAAATACTGTTGAGACATTCTTATGTTCCAAAAGTGTATCAGTTAAACATTGCATACACAGAAGCAGCTCTGCAGTACTTATGGATAGATCCCATCTCAAAGTATGTGCAACTATCAGAGAGAAGAACTGGATAAAATCCTTGGAAATCCAAACTGCATTTTAAATATGCGTCAATCATTCCAGCACCAACCTCCATATTTTTCAGTAGGTAAGAGTCATATGATGTAACAAAAAGTTTCTAAATTACAAGTGAAGATCCCAAGTGATCATGTACTGATTGCATGGTTCTAGAAGTCCTTCATTTTTTGCAGGTAATTTATATACACTCAGAGCCACTTTATTTCTGAATAATTGTGAGACAATAATTACGAGAGAAATGTGAGCAGATCCCACATTTGTGTGAAATGCAGCAGTTGAAGTGAAGAACATGAGGACTTCCTGCTGCAAACTAAGTGTGGAAGGCTACCTGCAAGCTCGGAGGACACTTTATTAACAGCACAATGACAGGTCCTTTTTGTAGCTGTAGTCTCACTTGTTAAAGCCCTCAGTTCCTTTAGCCAAAATTTATTGAATAAGTGTTTCTGGCTTCTTCCAGGAGTACAAATAARCACAGTACAAGGCAAATCAGAAATAAGTGAAAAAAAATAGTTCCAAGCATAGTAAGGAAAATGGGAAGAAAAAAGAAGAGCAAAAAAAAGGGCAGAACCAAGAAGAGAGCACTGAAAATTTTTAGTCCCCAGACCAGTATTTGTATAAATCAATAGCTCTACTTGATTTAAAAAAGACCAAAAACTGAGTTGATGTAAAAATATGTCAGCAACCTTGTCAGTGTGACCAATGCTTATGCAGGCAGCGCTGCCATGCTAAGGGCATGAGGACGGCGGCGGGTTTAGTCAGGCTGCTTTGGTGATCACGGGATGCAGCTTACCGCTCCAGGCTTGCTCTCTCTGGCCAGGGAATATTGAAAGATATTCTACAGCACGGCGGGCAGAGGACAGAACAAAATCATTACCAAAAAAAAGGCTACATAAATAATGCAAATGCTCTACAACAGCACTGTTTTCTTCTCCAGGGATGAGGTTTATAAAGAAAGACAAAAGCTAGCCACGAGGTAGAGGAAACCGCTGTAGATATTCTATGAAAATATGCACCTTCATGTTTTCTTGAACTTGAATTCCTAGCACAAGTATTACTACCAAAAGCTACTTGAGAAACTTTTGCCTCCATCTGTGAAATTTAAAAATGATTTTTCTGACGAAACAGGCAGGCAACGATGACCTGTAAGTGACAGTCTGTACCTTCTGATTAGGGGCAAAGCTGCTCGAGAACCAGTTTGTCTGGCACATGTGCCAAATCCCATCCCCCAACAAACACTACAGTAGATAGTGCCATACTGCCAATGTCTGAGCAATACACAACTCCAAAGCCTGCATTTCAAGAGGGACAACTCCACAACACTCTATTGCTTACAACTTCCACAGATTATTGCTGTTATTCTGTTGTTTAAGATAAATATTTAGAATGGAGATTTCCAGCTTTGAACACATCTTTCCACAAGTGCTCACATTCTCTCACTCCCACCTCTATTTGCAGATATAGAAGATGAGCTAGAAGCAATTCTGGTGAAGTCAATCTAAAGATGCAGTGACAGCCTGTGGATAAACACTGAAATGGATAAAATTCAAGAGAAAAGTCTTCTTACATTCATTTTCCAGTACTGAGGGAACACAGTAGGCTCACTATATTCTGACAGAATAGTAATAYATATTTTCCATTTTTTCTGACTAGCACAGTCTTGATACGCACAAAATAGCAACCTGGAATGGGCAGTCAGAACTCTCTGCTAATCACAGTCAGCTACAAACAACCCACCTGTCCACTGGTGTAGATGTATTTTCAATAAAACTAATAACTTTCTCTTTCACATTCACAGACTTGGTCTTCAAAGCAACCGTCATTTTATTCACCAAGGACTTGACTCCTTTTCCATCACCTGAACCATTAGGAGAATCACCCTGCAAAGGTAACTCCTCTCAGGATTAATCATATATATAAGAAAAGTCATGTTCTTTAATTGCTGGTTAGTTCAGAATGGAAACAATACAAAATATTAAACTTGTACTTTTTGGTACTTAATAGAATATTAATTACAATATTAAGTATTAAGCCTTACCACTCAAAGCATTAAGTACTCTGACACGCAAACACAGAGAGGAAGGAACTCCACCAATACTAAATTGCATACAAATTAAAGGCCAGATTCTACATAGAACATATCAGCTATAGAAAATAAACAATTCTAAGCTTTCTGACATCAGCTTCATAGTAATTTGTACCCATAGTGAATAAAAGTCAAGAGAATTGTTCATTGCACATATTCTTTTGTAGAACTACCATCTTCTCTGAAGGCCTTTCCTCTCAAGAGGATTAGTTTAGGGCACCTCTAACTAAACAGATAATATACTTGGAAATTAAGTACACAACCAAGAATGACCATGATTTGCAGTAAGGTACTGTACAGAATAGAATAAGGAATATGAAGAAAAATTTAGTAGACCTGAAGCTCCTATCTCACTACACCAYCTGAACTAGAAATCCACTTACATCGACAGAAGAATTGATGCTACTTCTTGAGCCCGAGGTACTGGCAATCCAGTGTCCGTATCCGTTTTCTGGTCCTTCCACATTGATATCTGCCAAGTGCTGCTGGAGAGCTGTTAAAAGGCCATTAAAAAGTGTTCAGAACTACACCAGAAGTAATCTTATGATTACAGTATTGTATATCCAAAACTCAAAACTACATGGCCAAAATATTTGTCTAGATGATCCAAGGCACCAGGTAAAATTCATATACTACTATAATTTTCCATGATTTTCCTTTCAGTAATACAAAGGTATTATCATTATATTTATTTTACATATAAGTCACTGCATTAATCCTAGAGAAGTTATTTTGACACTGTGTATCCTGACTAGCAATATTTCTGTGCTCATACTGTAAACCTCTCCTCTGTTCTGCAGCCAATATTGACTCCAGCAATCACTGCTCAGCAGCATGAAGTGCAGAATTCGGATGATTAAAGAAAACAACAATAATTGCTAAGAAGCATATTGATATGGATTTACAACCTACATAGGCTAAGTACAGGGGCAATAAACTAGATGGAAGAGGAAATTTTCCTGCTTCTTGCATTCATTTTTCACTCTTTGTAAGCATGGGTAAGGTCCAACAGTTAACCACAGAGTACTGACTGGTGCCCAGGTAAAATTAGTCAATAAGACATTTCCCATTCATCTAGCTGATTTCTGGTCAAAACCTAATAAAGATATCAATAGCATTAAAACATCAATCTTTCTTAAGTCCATATTAATGACAAATAATGACAAAGGTCATTACTAATAAGCTTACCCATAAAGCCTCCTTTGGCAATGCTTACATACTCTTTATTTTTCTGCAAGAGAAAAGACATTATCCCTGATTGAAGCAAAAATCTGTGAATTCAGTTTTGCAAGCATGGTAAGGAAATATGGAGCGCTTGTGTCATTTAATAATAAAACAAAAGCACAACTTGCTAATATAAAATAAGCTGATATTTCAGGAGGGAAATATTTTGCCACTTAACATCAAAGATATGTGCAAAAGCACACTCTGTTTCAGCTATTAAAATGAAAAGCAATTAAGCAGTACCTGCAAGAAGTGTGCTAACACCATGTTCATATACATGTCTTCTTCTTCCCTGCCACTTCCCATGAAGCAGAGATGCTCCCCACCAGCTATGGAGCCAGACTCGATGGATTGCTTTTGAGCTTCTAAGAGGGATTTGACAGACTGTGCAAACTCTGATGGGTTTTGAAGCATCTGTGAATGAATAAGTAAGAAGACTTAACAACTTCCCACTGTAACACAACATGTTGACAGACATATACAGACATGTAACAYGCCAAGACAGATGTTGAAAATTGATATAATTTCCTGACTGCCAAGTAACAGGGGAAGGGGCAGAAGGGGAAGAACACAAACCCCAAAGAGATCCAAAAATTATCTCATGTAATGATTACTGAGAATGGTCCTCTTCTCTCTCCCATTCTGCCATGCCCTCCCTCGAGGAAGGCAACAACTATTACCTATTAGCTTATTCTTGCAGACACCAAAAGGAAGTTAGATAAAGAATAAATAAATAAATAAATAAACAGTCAAGTAGTGGTAATTTAGTAACATAGCAGAGGAACAGATTTCCACACCCACATAATACAAGTTTACAACATTTTCAAGTTTACAACATAGTTACAACATTTTCAAACTTTGTAGCTTGGGACTCCTTTAAAAAGCCTAGAATTTCTAGACACCAGGAAGGAAGATGCCACTCCTCCTGCTGCCTCCCTGCTTGGCTTCCCGCATCGTCACCTCCACCTCTATACCTTCCCCAGACCAGGGAGAGAAGCTCATGATCAGAAGTACAAACAGATGCCAAGAGTTCTTGGTACTCTCTGAAAACTAAGGCAGTACTCTCCTACATGCTTGGTAAACATTCAAAATCAATGAGCTGCTAGATGGAAGGCATGGAGAAACACACACTTCCTAAATGGAGAAAAAAAATATATAACCTTTTGAGGCGAAGGCCTTTAAGTTCAGTTATAGACTTATGTTTCCTTGTTAACRAAATTCATGAAGGGAAATGTACTTATCTAGCCTTTACATTAGTTGACTAATGTAACTGCATTAAATGTAATTTAATCCAGTAAYGTAACAGGACTAAATGATGAAGTACAAAGTAACGAATACATACACTAGCCAACAGCAAGTCAGTCTGAATAGGAATTGAGATTTTCTTAGAGTTTTGAAGCTTCAGTGTATAAACAGACATTGATTCAGAAACAACAGTCAAAGGACTACTATTTTTTCAACACAGAGATTTTTCTCTCCTTGTATTTAACTTAGGATTCAAAAACCCGCACAGAAACAAAAAGCATACGAACCAAGTCTGAGTCTAGGTGAAATGCCGTTGATAAATGGCCAGCGTTGTACTGCTCTGCGGGACGACAATCCACTACAAAGAACCTTACACCTTCCTGAAAGGGAATAATTACCTGTTACAAAACGTAAAAGTTGTGCAATTATTGAAAGCACATCATTCAGTTTTATTTTAACAGTAATTCTCTTAACTATATTARTAACACTATAGGGAGGGATTCAGTGATAGGAGTTACTGGCCATGAGATAATCCTGAGTATTGCAAGCTGCTGGTCACCAGCCCCACCACCATTATTCTTATAGTGACTTTATATTAAAAAAGCAGCTTATACCTCAGAAAGGACCACCAAGTGCAATACACAGTGCAGTTTTCTCCTCTGCTGAGAGGAAAAATGATCTGTAGGAGAGCACATGCCAACATGATGAGGTTCTAAAAGGGACAATTTTGAAGTCCCAGTCCAACAGTATGTGACTACTCAGCACAGCACACAGGATTAGATTTATACCCCATCGACTTAAAGAGGATATAACCACATGCTTATCTTTACTTGGAGMAGGAAAACAAACCTACGCACGATGAACCAGGGCACAGAACCCGCTAGCTRGTAGCTAAAAAGAAACACTACGTCGTAACTGCACAAATAGCCACATATTTCTCTTAGATACTAAAAGTGAAGTTCATGCATTTAACTATCTTTATAATAAACTATGCAAATAGCTTGCCTCAAAACTTTTTAAAGCTTTCTAATTGCTAAAAGACAGATACTTTGTTGCTAAAAGACAGACACTTTGTAACAGTATTCTTCTTAAAGGCAGAAAGTAGTGCTTTTGCCCATACAATACATACAATAACCGTAATTGGAAGAGAAGTAAYATCAATGAGAGATTACTTTAAGCTCCTAGACAAACCACGTTAAGTTCCCCTTTGCTGTAGCTCTAGTTGTTATAGCACTGATACACTGCAGACAGCAAAGAGAGTACAAAGGGGTCAACTTTCAGACATTTTTTCCCCTGAAATAGCAAACATAGCTGTGTTGTTAGCACTTAGAAATGTTTGAGACACAATGATATGTAATGGATTATTCTCTTTCCCTGGAAAACTGTGCAAAAGAAGAATAATGTGGCATACTGACTCCTTGTTGCTGATTTGCTTGAAGAATCTCAGACACAGAAATTGCTAGACAGAGAGCCTGGCTCAAATCAGTGTCGTCATCTTTGAGGCCCAGCAGGCTGCTGCCAAAAAGAGTGTGGTTGTCCTATTAGGAGCAAGAGGAGGGGGGAAAAAAAGTAATGTTAACCACAGCCATCGTTCTGTCCTTAAAATTAAAAGTTTAAAAGTAAAACAACATCCATGGTATCACAACTACTAAGCCAAATATACGTATATCTTCTCTATAAATTCACTGAWTTTTTGATAGTTCTTTCTGCAGACTATTTAAAACATTAACTTTGATTACAAAAGTGCTTAYTCTTCATTATGGCAGGGTCAACATGATTAAACTGCATATGGTTGCATGCTGGCAAACAGAATCTGACATTAAGGAAAGCCTTGTCTTTTCAAGGATCTCACGTACCAGTCTACCACACATCAGTGAGAGAACAGACAAGCCCAAAAAGACAGGCCGATCCTATCTCACACGTCCAAGGCGGTCAGCAGATTTCCTGAATAGGGATGGACTGCAAAAATCACAGCCTGTAACAACATCTGTACCTCATGTAAGTGATTTTTTTCCTGCTTGCTGTTGCATGTACAGCTAGGATAGCTGTGCAGTCTACTACAAAGCACTTGCGTCCGCACAACATTTTTATGGGKCAGTTCTTATTTGAATCTAGTTTGCAAAACAGGGGAATAAGATGAAAGAGCTCAAGRAGGACTGCTACCAAAGAAATCTGCATCACTGGCTGAAAATTTAAAATTAGGCCACAAGAACAATTAAGACCAAACTGGTTAGCAGCTGTGAAGCAAGAAGACTGTAGGGAATCTTTTAACATGCTTCATTAAGCTTCTCGTCTTTCAAGCTCTCAAGGACCATAAAAATAAATACCACAGGAGTAAAGACATGATTTTTTTTTAAAAAAGAAAATATTTAATGAAATATTCAAAGTTACTGTCAGCAAGTGCTTAACTAATCATCAAAAAGACAGACAATTTCAAAATTTGTTATTACCTTCCTGAAGGAAGCTGGAGTTTTGCTACAATAATATTGTGCCAAAGAGAAGAGATCTTCTATATCTTCTAAATCGAGATTAGCTGGTGAAGTTTCTAGGAATTCTGACATACATAAACAACACAGGTACACAATTACTTCAGGCAGAAAAGAAGCACTGTATAACTCCTCATATTATATTTTACTTTTATATAGCATAACGTAATTTAGTTTCACCAAGTTGAATGGCGATTCATTCTTCAGGTAGAGGCAGAAGATATGAGAATGCTGATTATCCACAGGAAACAAACATTATTTGCTAGAGCTTTAAACCTYCTATCCTAATTAGTTCCTGTTTAGCTCGCTTCCATCTCTACACAGAGTCAGCTTTCCTTTGCAGCTGCACTGTTACCTGTCCAGGATGGTACAAGGCCACAATTCTGAGGCACAGACAAAACTGCAAAGTCCCAAGCACTCTCATTTTGAATTATTAGAACTCCATCAATTATATTGTCACATGCCATAACAGATACCGCTTAGGCAGGTGAAATACCCTCATGAGAATCTTGGTCTCATTTCTATAAACACAGAAGGGTGGGAGAGGACAGGGAGACAGTGACGACGAGTTAAGCCCAAAATGAAGCACATACACAGATGGTAAGCTGGAAAACTCAACAGGGCAATAGATTTAAAGGATGTGAAAGCTGCTGCTTTGAGCTTGGAAACATGGGGTTTTTTCCTGTACTCTGAACTGAAATACAAAACTGTATGTGGGAGTGCTAAGGGAAAATACAAGAAAAGAAGATTAAGGACAAAGCTGATGTGATGCAGTCAAAGACAGGGGATTCTTTGGGGAGAAAAGGTAAATAATTAAATGATAATTAAATGACAATTTAATCACTTAATAATTTAATATGACAAACTAAGTGGGGGATTAAATTTCAAGGTGAATGTTTTATCAGCAGCTGGGTAGAAGTAGTACTTACTTATCATTTCTTCTTTATCTGTTTCTTGTGCTAAGATAACATCCCTGAGAAGAATAAAGTCACAGGTATTGATTAACTCAGTAAAAACAAAATTAAGCATAGATTGATGAAAACCATTTAAACAAGGAATATCTCAGATAATTAACTTTTTACTTACTTTGCATTGACAAGGATGATTAACATTAAGAAATAAATAAAGAATGGATCTGCTTGCTGTAGATATCCATCCCATATTGCCTGAGTGACTTCAGCTGAACAGTAATATGAAAAAAGGCTTCCAAGCTGAAAAGTTCAAGAACAGTATAAGGAAAAAAGCAATAACCAGGAACAGTCTTATCAGGATTTGTTTACAGAGAAATGAGTTATCTAAAAGAAAAACAAAACAAATTAACACATACATTTGCATCATGTACTGAATATTGGTTTTTAAACACAATCACTAATTTGATTTTAAAAGACTACCTAAGCTCACTTTTCTCCATCTTTACAACCACACAAATGCACATAATCATAAAAGCTAATAATCTATGACACACTTCCTTGCTCTTTGGAGTATAAAAGTTAACCTCATTCCTACTTTTTTTGGAGTATTTCTAGTGCCCAATAACAATGGCTCAGCTAACACACAGTACAAAAATAGATTATGTTCACAAGATCACATACCTTACTCTAAGTAACACAGACTAAAAAGCCCATTCTATATTAAAATATATCATTTATTTTTCATTATGTCTCCCTACTTTCACTTTATTACCCAGTTGAGTGCATATGAGTCTGGCGTCATCTTCTTAGTATCAAGAAAGGAGCAGAGTTCAGGCTCATGGTACTGAAGCAGCAGCCTAAATAGATGGAATGGTCTTCCCTTCAGGAAACAATCCCTAGAAAGTAGCAGTGAAAATAATTACAAAAATCCCCGTGATACTCCAGCTATCAGACTTAAAATAGCAACTCTTTATTAGCTGAGATAATGTAGGTTCCTATTCTTTTTTTTTTTTTTTTTTTTTTTTTTTTTTTTNAAATTCCCATGAACCAATATTGAAATTGCCTTGCAGCAAGGTAAAAACATCCCCCTCCCCCCACTATGTTAATAAGGTGGTAGAAAGAATGAAATATTTCCACAGGATTTCCTCTACCAAAAGAGAGATTTAAATATCAAAATAAAACTAGAAGACAAAAACTGAAATGAAGAAGTTCTAATACTTCTCAATTGCTGCTCAGAATCAGTAGGTACATAAGAAATGATTCAATTTTGTAAACATACGAAGAAATCTGACAACTTTGCTACAAGCAGTGCTACTCCTAGACACAAATTACCATGAGCCAAAAATCCATGTGCACATCTCCTTTCAGAAATTGCTTTCAATGACACTAAAAGAGTAAATATGCAAGGGGAGAGGGCTTTTACCTTGGAATGAATTTATTCATGATAGCATAAAAGCAGTTGTACAAATCACTGCGAGGCAGCTGAAGGTGCACCAAAGGTTTGAGTAGATGTATCCAGCCGAGGAAAGAACTGTATTTAACATTGCGTGATTTACAATAAAAAGTTATAATGGACTCGATATCCAAAAGTAATACTGACTTCTCCTCTTCTGGCACTGATAATTGGTCTGAAATAGGCAAGTGTCACAGTTACAAATCACTGTAATGGCCTTTCACTGAAATTGAATCAAATTATTTCATAGCACAGCAGCACCAAAATGGACTTCTATATGCTTAATAAAACTAGCAGCTGGGATTAAATGCTTACAAAAGGCGTTCCCAAAGCGTATGGATGAAGGACACTTGCATAAATGTAAGGATGCCTCAATAGGATAGGGCATTTAAATATCATCTCAAGGCAGGATAAGTCTGGAATTTCTAGACATACAAGGCAGAGATAGATTATTAGATCCACAGCATCTTTCTACTATCCTTAAAAGGCTGACAACTCTTGTCTCTCTATATTGAGACAATCCACATAAGCCACATCAACACTGTATTCCAAATAATGAGAGAGATGAATGAGATTCCTAGCTTGTAGTTTAAACATATGGATATTTATTATATGGCCTGTAGCTAGACTTTCAGTATAAGTTCATACAATTTTCACTTTAGTGCTAAACATGTCTCCATAAAAACCTGATGTCATATATTAGAAATAAATGCATTTTAATCCAGTCAAATTATGCTAGCTTTACTAAACTGACTTACAATAAAAGAAGGAAAAACTATGTTACAGAATCACAGAATCACAGAATATTTAAGGTTGGAAGGGACCTCTACAGATCATCTAGTCCAACCTTCCTGCTCAAGCAGGCACACCTASAGCATGTGGCACAGGGTGGCATCCAGGCGGGTTTTGAAGACCTCCAGAGTAGGAGACTCCACAACCTCCCTGGGYAGCCTGTTCCACTGCTCTSTCACCCTAACAGTAAARAGGTTCCTCCTCACCTGGAGACRGAACTTCYTGTGYTYCAGCTTGTGGCCATTACCCCTCGTCCTATCGYTGGCCACCAGTGAAAACAGCCTGTCCCCTTCCTCCCTGCATTCTCCCTTCCTGAACTTGTACACATTAATCATATCCCCTCTGAGCCKTCTCTTCTCCAGAGAAAAYAGGCCCAGCTCACTCAGCCTCTCCTCATTCACAGAGAGAAGCTTATATACTAAAAATTACAAAAAATGCAGTGTAATTAAGTTACTTATGAACACATTCCCTTCTCAGTTACCAAATGCTCATGAGTTTGAATGAAAGGCTGTGTTACAGAAGCATTTAAATACTTCCCCTATCTCAGCCTGCAGTTATTTTATCCTTCCTTTCCTATGTTTGTAAAAAACAAAYAAAACAGTCAAATGTCAGGAGATTTGTTTTCAATTTGGAGACTTGTTAAAATACGAAATAAAGAGATTTAATGCGACTAAATGGAAATCTCTATCTAACCTTTTTTTTTGAACTCTGAACTTCAATCAAATTTAACATACCACAAAATATTTGGAAAAAAAAAAAAGAGAGAGAGAGAAAGGAGAAATAACGGCATTTGGAAATTATAGTGATTAATACAGGTAGAGAAGATAAATAAGTCCTGCTGTTTTTTTTTTGGAGCTACAGGATACACAGCTGCATTCTAAAAGTGCTATGTACGTATACGTATGCACGTATGGAGGCAGTAACTCCACTCTCTGTCTTAACACTCGATCTTGCAAAAATTARAATAGGACAGGTAATCAAATGGAAGATTTTCTTACTGATACCACATAAAAGAGCAACTGAAGCTGTGAGTCAGCACTGAATCATTCACCTGAACGTTGATACTAACATTATTGCACAGTGTCAGGGATATGGTCATTTTTGTGATGAGCTGGCATCCAGATTCTACAGCAGTTCCTTAGGCATACAGAGGAATATTATTTCTAATGTCCTGGAAAAAAATCTGCTTTTGCAAATGCAGCCTTTCATTTTACTGAGAATGCTGTTAATAAAAGCTCTCTCTCTAAAAAAACAGAAAGTCCAAAATGACTAACATATTTCTTCCTTAGTGGCTACATGCATTTTGGTGTTATGCCAACTGTCCAGATTAAGCACAAGTCTTGGGACAAGTAAAAACTTGAAGAACGTTATACAAAGAAGGTCAGGTTTACAAGAAGAAAACTGAAAGAGGAATTATTATTTTCCAGCTCTCAAAGCCTTCCTGCCTCTAGGCTCTGATTAGTCCACACAAACTATCATTCACAAGCTATTACTGGGAACTTCCACGCTGTCACCCATCTCAGAGTCGGAATACAGGTAAGATACTGTTTCCTATTACGACTTTTTTTTCTGATTTATGTGCTCTCTCATCACCATCTTCCTCAAAGCTTCCTTCAAAATGTAAACATTACCCTGTGTAATTCAAGTGGCAAATCTCCAAGGCAACTGAAGGTACAGAAGTTTTCCTATAGGTGATCAGAATGTAAGTAAMCTTACCGATTAGCTCTTGGCAGTCTTTATGAATTATGCTCTGCTCTGGTAAGTCTAAACATCCATCCCAGGATGCCAGGCTGTCTCCCTTCCCTACAACATTAAGTGCAATCTGCAAGGAGAAACAAAAAAAGCAAAAGTSTAAAGTTTTTTAGTGCAGTTTTGCAGCTATTGAATTATTGAATAGCGTAACTCAGCTCAATAGAAAGCAAACACTCCACAACTGGATTGATGAACACGCGTATGAAAGTTTCAGAGTCACATGAACAGGGAAGCTCTTTTGTAGAGATGCCCAGTAATTAATTAATTCACTTCAAATCAAACACATCTTTGAAGGCTCCCTGCTTTTTGCTTTGAGCCCATGCCTACCTTCCAGACTTTGGCCCTCAGATCAGCAGGCAATCGTCTTCCTTGAACGATGTTTCTCACGGTTTCGAGATCACAGCCTCCTTCTTCTAGAGCTTCCGCAAGATCTTTTTCCCTATAGTAATGATAACGTAATATGTTTAATTATTAAAAACCAATTTGCATCATTCAATATTTTTAAATGTGTGTCTATGAAATAAATGTGGACTCAAGAATACTATGAGGCAAAAAACTCCACATTTTAAAGATAAAAACATATTATTAGACAATTTCTCAGTTTATCAAAGCTACGTATTTGCAAACTTTTGTGTGTTCCTTTAAGGCTGTTCAACTCCTTATTCCATTCAATTTAGTTGAGAGAAAAAGTTTCTATCATATTTTTTGCTTTCACAAAGTGACACAATGTTGCAAAACGTGTCAYAAAAAGGCAGATTTAGTTGTAGCTTGCAAGTGAAAAGAGAGGTGGCAAGCTTCCACCCACAGACAACAGATTCAGAGCAAATCCTACACCTTAATTAGATGGAAGAGTTCTTTTGAATAAAATATCAGATAACCTAGAAAATGGAAAAAGTACTTCAAAGGTTTAGAATGGCTGGCTATTAACTCCATATTTTCCTGAAATGGGGAAGAACCTTTTAATTAAATTCACTCCTACTTAACTAAACATTTCAAGCACTGTAAGAGCAGTACTTGAACATGTACASGAGTGAAATTAATCTCAAAACAACCCAAAAATTCAGCAGATTGGCAACATACAAAAACATTAGTGCTAGTGTATAGCAAAATACAAAAACTGATGTGAAAAACTCTTAGGATGTTTTCACAACAACAGAACAATAATGTTCTCAAACATTATACATAAAATACACACTCAGAAGTTATTACTTTACAATTTGATAACTCTTATACCTGTTTTCCATCATCTCTGACAAAACCTCAAGAAGGACTTCATGTATCTAAAGACTCATGCACACAACCAGAAGCTCTATGGCCAGAGCAAAATGTAAAAGTGACTGTTTATTCAGGACAGATTTTTATTCACATATGAAGACTGATTGCTTGTGAACAACACATGTAGCCAGACATGTGGAGTAACAGATGGGCGAGTTTTATCAATATAACTCTCAATTACKCCAAGATGTTAAGATGCTCAATTCTGCTGGAGAAAATGTCAGTGGATGAACTTGTTCTACTTCTGTCATTTGCATATATTCACAAATAGCAAAAGTTCCTTGCTATAAAGCTTCCTGAACTCAGTCTCTTGAAAATTACACCAATTTCTCATCTGCTAAATATCACCTTTTTGGATAAGCAAAATAGATTCGTAATTCTACAAGAAGATATATGCACATAGCTAACAATAAGCAACCAGGCAGTCTCACTTAAGGTTTCTCAAATTCTTTAAGTACTTATTTACAAGGCAGAAGAGTAAGCAGTCTCCTTGTATTTTCTSAGCCAGTCTCTTTTACAGTATTTTTTGGCAGAGCTTAAAAACACATTTCAAACATATATGGAGGCATGGCTCACAGACTTTTTTTCTTCAAGTAATTCTGGAAAATTTGTGACCTGCGTTGCCTTGCATCCAAAGAGATTGACTTGTATCAGTTTGTTATTTTTTAGTGCTTAAAAAAAAAAAATCTAGTTCATACAGAGCCACCAATTGCCTAGGAAAGCTACAGGAAAAAAATAAAACACTGAAGTGTCTCTTAGGAGAGCTAGAGGAAAAATACAAAACCCCATCCATTGGCTATCCTGTTGTCCAACTGCATATGGAACAATCAATGTTGGAAAAATTAAACAACCAAATCAGTTCCCCATGAATAAATATCAAGTATTTCCAAAACACTTACTCAGGAGAGATCCAAACCCTATGTGGAACTGCACAAACTCCAGCACTATCTATTTCAACACAAGCCAGCACCAAACATTATCTGAATATAGAGTCAGAYGTTCTCATAAATACTTGTAATACAAGTTTCTGGGCACACTATGGCAAACTAATTAGAAGAATCACAGCTAGGCCTGGAATTCTGCATATACAAAATATGGCTGGTTGCTACAAATGTTACACAAATATTTATTGGACATGTGGAAATGGGCTATAATTAGCATAGCTACATAAATAATGGTTGTAAATTGTGCTTTAAGTGGTAGATTTGGAAAAACACATATTGTTTCATACATGTGAAACAACATTTAAAAACACTGCTATACGGACAAATTAAAAATGAACCTGGCAAAAACTGTTTCATAAATGCACAGGGACTCATTCTGCAGCTACCAGTACCGAGTATTTTCAGCTTAAAAAGCTGTTTCTGGCTAACATGAAGGTCAACTTCAACATATTATCTGCAAATGTGGGGGCTTCATCAGCTTGCTTGTTGCATYGGCAACATCATCTGCATAAATGCAAAGGTGAAAGGCAAATGACAGGATTACTGCCTTACCTTAAAAAGCAGGGAATTGTATTTCTCACTATGGATATGTTATCACATTTGAGTTACATGAAATACAGCAGCAAAGAAAAAGTTACAGAGTAGCTTGTATTCAGCTGGTTACCTTTTTCCTCTGACATCTATTAAGAATATTCAGTGGACAGAACCAAGGAGGTTTCAGGGAGGTTACATGAATTTCTTCYCTAAAACGAGCATTTTTCCATTCATATTAACTTAAAAGGTACCACAGTAGCAATCTTGGTTCTTTAGCATGTGTTCCYTGCCTGTGCTTTGCCTTATTTCACCCAGTGCTGTTGTGAATGTTTCAGGAAACTGCCAGCAACCACCTGGGCCCTTGTCTTTCATTGCCTGAAGGTTGTCTGGGAAGCTTTGTGCTTATAAGGAACAACAATTACTGCACTTCTTTTGCAAAGATGGTAGCAGTCCTCCTCTTCCTGGGCAAACTGCTCCAGGCCACAGCATCCCTGCTTTCTGCTCTGCCATGGCTCCATACAGCATTCCTGGAATCTAGTCAATGTTTTGGTTACCATCTATATAAACCTGAAGTCCATTACTGTTGCTCATTTGTTATTAGAAAAGACAGATCCCTTTGAACTTTGGCTTATAAACCTAAATGCATTTCTAAACAACAACCACGCCCAAAAAACACCTTCCAAAGTTGAAAGCTTTGAAAGTTGAATTTGTGGTAGGTACATTTTTTCTCCCACAGTAAGACTAGTAATATCTTCCTCATGCACCAAATTATCCAAAATGCACTTTGCATGCCAAAAAAAAAAAAAAAAAAAAAAAAAAAAAAAAAAAAAAAAAAAAAAAAAAAAAAAAAAAAAAAATCAGTTTCATACAAACTGAATCTGCTGCTACATAGCTGCCTATAAAATATACTACTCACTGGCTGTAAAAAGAGGAGAGGAAAAAAAAGATGCTGTAACTCATCCCAAAACTATTTGTTTACACTCACCTTCCTCTAAGTGACACGCTCAAYCATGATGTGCCCTCGTAGGCCACGACCATTTCCAGAGTAGAAAAGTAGTATTTAGAAAAGTATTTGTTAAAGGTGTCTTCAAACGCCATTCCTATTTTCCCTAAATCAGAAGGAAAGCTGCTACTGCCGAACCTGCTCTGTTCCCAAAGGAGAACATGCCCAGCTCCTGCGGAATCCCAGCCAGACAGTGAAGTGCTCCTTAAAGCTTTGTGTTTTTTAAAGCCTCTTTAAAAAAAGCTGGCCAAGAGGATCACTGGATTTCCTTCCTACAAAGCCCCTGCTGCCTGGGACATCAAAGCCGTGCAGTCAGCAACTGGACACTGCTGTGAGAAGCAAACTGGTCACCACAAACACCGGACGAGAAAGATAGGTGTATCCCTAGCAGCGCTGTTCTCAGAGTTATGAGAATGTGGTACAGACATGTGTGKTAGTGCTAGACGGGGCTAATTCACTCTTTAATAGATTTGTATTACCAAGAAAGTAGGATTAGGCTATATTTTGAACAATATACATTGCTTGAAAAWGTTCACAGAAGTATTTCGATTTACAATATACAGAAACCACTAAAAAGGCTTAAACAAAAGCTGTCCAAGTGACTAGTACTGACTAATATTTCCAAAGTCAATTACTAATATTGCTGTATCTTTATAGCCATGATTCTACCTCTCCCAGAGCAAAGAGCACAGCTTTCCATCACAGAAAACTTCCATCTATATAAATGCTTCCTGTTTTTTCCCCAGAAGGGCACTTTAATAGAGGTCGCTATACTGCTTCCTACTTTTAATTTATTAATTTCTCAACTAAGGAAAAAATGCCAAACCAAAGTTGTTTTAATTTAAAAACTAATGAGCATCCTGTATTGAAAAACAAAGAACTACAAATCCCTCATACATAATCCTTTCAAAATATCCCTTGTAATCTGAGCACCATTAAATATATTTCATTCTTCGGGGAATTTTAGAAAAGACCATTAATTCCCTGATATTTACCTCTATCTTTTTCTCATTTTCTATTTCATAGCTTTTCTATTTCATAGCCTTCTCAGTCTTTGACACAGACACCCACTGTAGCACAAACATAACACTTCTCAAAACATAATCTGAAAGATTGCCAGAACTGGCAAATTAGCTTAAAAGCTTAAAAGAATTAGCTTAAAAGAATCATTTAATCTTGGGGTCTTAACAGATTTCTTGCTGTTGTTTTTAAATCAAGTCCCAGGCGTTCCTGAACCAAGCTGACAACGTCACCTTTCATTAAGTTTACACAATCAGCTGCGTGTGCGTTGTGTTGTCTAGTGGCAAATTCCCCAGTTCCTGCTAAACAACGTGCCCAGCAGTCAGTTTTACTAACCAGGGTTTTAACTCATCACTAGTTTGTTGTTCCCTCCGCTGCAAAATCAGCACCAGCGTGGGATGTCAAAGTAGACTGGTAGGTGTTTTGAAAAAACATCTAGGGCATTTTATGATAACTGGCATCCCCAAATTTGACACACTCAAAGGGCTGTCACAGACTCTGACAACCTTTGAATCCCTCTAAGGAGCTGAACGCAGGACCAGGAACCAGAACTACCCTTCTGATTCTCAGGGGCACGTGCTCTACCTGCACACAGACATCACTTCACATTCCAGTGGCTTTTTAAAATTGTGAAATGTTATTGCACAACCCAATATTCTTCAGTATCGTGATAGCACAGGACACCAAAGAAAAACTCCTTTATAGATTTTGTATTCAGAAAAATAAATCCTGTTCCACAGCCGCCAGCAGTGCACACAAAATAACAGTTTGAATGAATAAAAAGAAAACATTCACTTAAACTATCGTAAAAAATACACAAAACAAGAAGCTATGTGAAGCTTCTAACCAGAAAACAAGGAACTTGGTTTTCCACACTCTTCCGAGGGCAGAGCTCTTGCAACACGCACTCACATTCCAATGGAACACTTAAGCACAAAACTCATGAATTGTTTCCACAGATTCCTAGAAAAGATTTTAAATTACATCTTTCCTACTGTAAGCTTACAAATTTGCCCTTTTAATAGTACTGGTGTAGCTAATTGACTACAATCACAATTTGAAGGTGCCAGTCAGAATGGTAATAATGCAGGCTGCACTTGGAAATAAGTTCAGGAAGGACAGTGTTCCTCATTCTTGACAGAGAATTTAGCAGTTTGCAGGGATCTTACAGACTGCAATATTCTTTCAACRGCAGTAGTGAAATAAGCTTTAAGTAATTCTTTTTCAGAGATTTTTTCAATGTGGTTCTTATTTGCCCACCAGGCTTATATTTCAAGTGTCAAGACTGAAAAGTGAATGAATCTGTTTCCTATTTCATAATTATTATAGGCTAAGATTTAGAAATGATCCCTATGTGACACTACACTGTAAAAAGCACTTCACACAATTTGAACTTTTAACTAAAGCCAAAGAAACAAACCCCAAAGAWGTCAAACAACTGCAAGGCAACTATGCAAGTAACGGTGTAAGAACTAATAGGCACCATGACAGAGGAAAAAAGAGAGCTCAGAGAAAAAGAAATCAAACACAATGCAGAAGCTCAAACTGAAATAAAACGAAAGACACAGAGCAGAGGTGTGAAAGCAGCCATCGGTGCTGAAACTCAAATTAGGTCTTTTTAAAGTCCCTGCAATCGGAGGCCAATATACACGCATCAAACGCTAAAACTCCACTGGCATTATCATAAAAATGATTCTTCTAGCGCTCCAGGTATAGTCTATTTTGGTCTCCTATAAGTTTAATGTGGAGGGGGAAAAAAAAAAAAAAAAAAAGGAAATAGCCTCAACAGCCTCGCTAGGGGAGAGGAAGACAAATCCATCCCCACGGTAACCTGGGGCCTGTTTTTAACCTCTTTCCGCTTGGGCAGCGGGGCAGAGCGGGGCAAGCCGGGCCGAAGGCAGCAGCCGGGCTCGAGGCGGGCGGACACCCGCCCGCGGAGCGGGGCTCGCGCCGTGGGGGGAGCCAAACCCCGCACAGGCCGCCCCTGGGGACCCCTGGGGACCCCGGGGCGGCCCCTCTGCCGCCGGGGAGGGAGCGGCCCGGGCGGGAGGGGCCCCAGGGCAGCGCCCGACTCACCAGCGGCGCGATGGCGGCGGCGCCTCTTCCCCCTCCGCCATAGCTGTTGACGTGCCCGCCGCGGCCGGCCGTAAAGCGCGGACGGGCCTCGCCCCGCCGCCCTCCCCCGCCGACGCGCAGGGTGTCGCGAAGATGAAGGCGCCGGCCGTAAAGGGCAGGAGCCTGGCAAAGCGGCTGCGGCTCCTTGCCCTATCTATCTATCTATCTATCTATCTATCTATCTATCTATCTATCTATCTATCTATCTATCTATCTACCCATCTACCTATCTCCCCGAGTCTTCCTCTAAAAAATTCAGGACTCGATTCCCCCTTGTTTTCCAGGCAGGAAAGCTTTTCGGTGAAAGTTTGCTCGCCCTGAGCAGCTCGCGTACCCCGTTTTTCACAGGCACGTTTGTTTCCCGGGAAAGGGTATCCCAAGATGGAAAAAAAATCGCTCAGGAAAGGCACTTTGCAGTATTAAAACAAACTAACTAGCTAAAAAATGTATTACGCGGAGGGTGCTCTCTGCCTTTCTTCCTTTTCCTGGTTCATAAATATTTAAAAAGTTTTTTCTACTTTTTTTTTCTTTTTTTTTAACTACCTGTCACTCAGAGGAAAACCACATTTTGTGCAATGCACGTGAGGAACTGAAAACGGCAAATAACATCACACTCCTATCCAAAACACTACCAAAGACAGATGCACGCGCTTGTGGAAGAGGCAGGAGAAAGCAAAAAAAAGGCAGGAAATGAAATAAAATAAACAGAGATCTCTATAAATAAACACACTCCCCCCTCCTTCCCCCGCCCCTCTCCGGCGGCCTCCGCCCCCCACGGCGGGTGCAACCCCTCGCACATGCGCGGTGCGGAGGAGCGTGGCCACACGGGGGGCGTGGCCACACGGGGGCGTGGCCACACGGGGGCGTGGCGCAGCCTCACGCGCGCCCCGCGCTGCCGCTCCGCGCTCCGCCCCCTTCCCGCGCTTCGCCCCTTTCCCGCGCTCCGCCCCGGTCCCGCGCTCCGCCCCGGTCCCGCGCTCCGCCCCGTTCCCGCGCTGGCTCCACGCGTGGCGGCGGCGGCAGCATGGGGGACACGCTGGAGGAGCCGTGGTGGGAGCCCGCGGCCGGGGCGCGCGGCCAGGCAGGTACTCGTCCCCCGCAGCGCCCTCCTCGTGCCGGCCCCGAGGCGCCCTCCGAGCTCCCGCAGCCCCTGCCTGCCCTGCTCTCCCTTCGCTGTGTTTTTTCCCCCTTCCCCGATTTGATTTTCCCTTCCTGTGTCGCCCGCTCGCTTTTCCCTGGTTTCTGCTGGTGCTTCCGTTAAGTTCAGAGCTTGGCTGCTATCCCACCCCCGTAATCCGTGATTCCTAACCGTTGTCTGCCCACCTGAGCTTATTCAAGGGAATGTGTGGTCGCAGCCCTGCAAAACGGGCGAGCTGTGAGTCTGTCTGTAAAAGTTACTGAGATGAAGTTATTTGCGGTTCTGAAAGGCCTCAAGACTTCACGTTATTGGGAGAGCCTTTGGAGGGAAAAATATCCAGGGTACTTRGAGAGTGGTGACTATGTAATTACTGGAGCATCTCTGATCATCCTGTCATGCAGTGCTGTAAAAGGACAGGAGTAAAATAACTTCTTCACGTGCTTCTCCTAGGGGTATGGCTTAAGGCTGAATTGCTGTTTCTCCCGATCATAAACATATACAACACTTGTCTTTTTATGAATGGGTCTGAATGTGCTTTGAAAAGGAAATGGACAATATGTTGCTTTTGATGTCAGAGTTCAGTGTTAGGCTGTTGTGTTTTAGTGAAAGAAACTGGCATAGGAAGAAACTGACATAGATGGGACATGTGGGGTATTGAGCCTTGTGTGAACACTGAGAAGGCTCATGTATCCTTATGATTTTGGGGCCTGTATGAGGGAGTCTTTAAGTCAGACATAGTTTGGAGAGTTAGGCAAAACTAGGCCGTTAAAAGTGACTTCAAGAATTTTTACATTTTTTTTAATCTCTTCATAATTGTGTTATCAGGAGCTGGGATATACCTGCAGCTCTAGCTRGACTGCACATTTGGAACCCCTTATTGCCAATGGCAACTGACCTCTTTCGAAATGGTACCTCAAGAATATTTTGAGAGGCAACTATGCAAAAATTGTATGTATGTGATAAAGAGGGGTCTTTCCTAGGCTTACGGAGGCCAGTTTCCTAGGCCTTTGCTTTTACAACATGTACTCTAAACGTCTGACTGTTTGGTAGTCTTCTGCTGGTCCATCTCCAGTTTKCTGTTATTTCTCCTGCACTGGAGGTCCCAACATTAGGTAACATATACCAGATAGTGCTTCCCAAATGTCAGGCAGAGACACATTCTCAGCTGGCTATGCGCTTGCTGGTTACTTCTGTTCAAAACATCCCAAACTAGCATTTGGAGGATATGGGGAAAGTATGAGCATAAACTCTCTATATGACTTATATGCTGCATAAAATACATGGTAAGCAGAGGTACAAGAACAGAGATTAGCTCTTTTGTGAAACATTTAGTCAAGTTCACTTAAAAATATTATTTTATTATTCAGCCTTATTTGGTGTCATTAAAAAAAAAAAATGCCAAAACTCTAGGTGTAAAGCAGAAGTTGAAATGTRCTTTTAAAATGAGACATTTTGCCAAGATCATTAAAATTCATCTTAGAATAAAAACTGTCCAGCAGAATATTCATTCTGATAACTCAGCCTTCAGAAGTGCAACTTTTAGTTAGAAAAAACTTCATTTAAGATGAAGTGTATGTGAAAGATGTTTGTATTAACTTAAAGGAAATGGAAACACAAAATATATATCTTAATGAATATGTAAGTAATTTCTCATCTTCTTATGGCTGCATCATTATAAATTATTATTTTAAGAATCAGTATTAAAGATAAGGAACCTCTGAGTCAAAAACTTTGTCAAAACTGCAGGTGTAAAGCAGAAGTTGTAAGTGGTTCATTTTTTAAAAAGCTGAAGGGATTATCCATCTAATTACTTTGTCACCACACAAACTAAAGAACCTTGCTCAATAACCTCTTCAGCAAACCTTTAACCTTTAAAGGAGTCTTGTGGTCTTCAAAGGAGAGTTCTTAGGAATCACTGTCTCCTTCTTAGTCTTGTTTAGAGTTACAGGTGTCTCACGTCAGGCAACTGCAAGGTTGCAGTTTCTTTTTCTCCCTTTTAGCAGTTTGTATCATGACTGGGTAAGGCCTCGAATACCATTTATTTATTTATTTGCATTGCCTTCCAAAGTAGAAGGGAAAGGATGAAGAACGCTAAGGAATTCACTTAGTCCGGGTGAAAGACACCAGTTCTTTCCTCTTCTCTTCAAGAACAGAAAAAGCACTTTTCACAGTACTGTATATGTCCATGTCTTGCCAGTAACTCATATATCCACCAAATTTCCTGCACAGTTTGTTGGAGAATTATGAGCTTTGCTTTTCAGACATTATTCCATTTTCCTTATTTTCTGTGATCATTCCTCCTCTTTCATTTTCCATACTTTCTTTGTCTCCCTTAATCCCATAAATTAGCAAAGTTGTTCTTTGTCCATTTGTTTATTTCCGTAAGAGCCTGTGTCCCATGTAGGTGGAAATCATTTATGGTATCCCAATACAGGAGGAAAAGGCAGGGGAACTCTTCCATCTCAGCGGTGCAAATAGAATGTGGTACTACGGAAGGTGACTTGTCAGGACTTGTGGGATCCTTTTGCATGCCCGGCAGTGAGGGATGCTGTTGTGGGATGTAATTTCTTTTGCCAGCAGTTTTCTCTTTGTAGACTGGGGGGGAAAAAAAGGAATACCAAATAGCATCAATTTGTATGTGTGGCATACAGCAGTGGGAAGCAGACTGTTCGCTGTGGCACATCCAGGGAGGATTTTGATGCTTAATTGGAGCTGGGATCTGTTTGCTGACCTGTTTGTGGAAAGGCTTGTCTGTCTCGGCTTGTTCCATGAGTTGTAACCACGTCTGAAGAAAGTGGTGACTTTTGCTTGAGCTGCTTGTCAGATCTGGCTGATAAACCAGGAGCTCCCAGTGGGAGCAAAACCCTTCTGCACTGCAGAGTTTAACAGCGTTGCTTACTGCAAAGCAATCAAGCTTAAAGTACATGATAGACTTGAAGTCTATCAAACCCAGAGTTATAATTTTGTTAATATACTTCTTGGAAATCTATAGTATTTTCCCTTATTTAAATTATTTATGTGTGTAGCTCTATTGCTAGGGCTTTGCTTTTCAGCTTTGCCATGCTCCGCGTATTTGGCTTCCCGTTTTCCAACTTCACAATCATAATGTAACACTTGTTGTTCCACTGAACCTAACTGTCAGTCAAGAGACGGTAATAGACTTATTGGTACAGTTTTAGACATTTAAATTAAGAAGGTACTTGGTGTTCAGATTGTTTATTTTAGCTCCTTTTAATTTTTTTTATTTTATCGTTTTCTGTGCATGACTGTTTTCCAGCTTGGGCTACAACTGCCAAAATACTATGAAAAGAGTCTATTATTCTGTTGCAGTTAAGTATATTGCAGCCACCTCCACAAATTTTTGGGGTTGAGAACATTGTGTGACATCCTTTTCGTGTRGCTTGCTCCTCCTTTTGGCTTTACAATAGAAAAAAGAAATCTGCCCTTGGGTTTGTGGAAAAGTGGAGTACTGCCTCACTCCTAAAGCAGTGTCTGCAGTCTGTGCTTCWTATGGCAGCTGGGTTTCCAGGGCTGTGTCTCCAGTGACAACTCCCAAAGTGCAGCTCATCTACTTGTAGTTTGCAAAGACTTTGTGAAGTCTCTGCAGATGAGGTTATTCTGTGGCTTTGGCCAGCTCTCATGCTGGGAGATCAGTCCTTATGCCAGCAAAACCTAGGACCCACAACATAAAGATTGTCTACCTGGATCGGCTATAGCAAAACACTGTTTTGAGTCAGAATTTAAGATGTCTCTGGGGCTTCAAAGTTGCCTGTAATACCTTCTACAGTTGCCGTTAATCCCTGCTGGGCTGCTGGGACCTGCTACACTTCACTCTGGTCCCTAACTGATTAAGACACTGATTTAGATGATGTGATTTGAAACTCTACCACATCTGCTTGTTCTACCAACCCATTACTTGTCACTATGGTACCTGGCTACAACAGCAACCCAGTGTGGTAAGGCCCACCAGAAGCCGGGTGGGGTGCTATCTGAAGGGGTAAAACCTGCAGATGGAAATCAAAACCAAGTTATATTCTGCACTGTGTATCGCCAGAAGCCATACAGTTTCTGTTGTTGCTTTCATTCCTTTAGCATAGGTTATGTTACAGTGCTGCTTTCTGGCAGGCAAATGTGCAAGCGTTCTGTAGTCTGCTTTTTTTGCAAATTAAACCAAATAAGCTGCTCTTTATCATCTATCAGTTGTTCTGGTTAACCGAGGAGGTCCCAGATGTGGGGGAACTGCAGGCCTGTCAGCCTGACCTCRGTATCGGGGAAASTTATGGAGCAGATCATCTTGAGGGTGATCACACAGCCTGTGTGAGCCAAAATCCATGTGGATGGACAGACGCCAAGAGTGGTGAATGGAGTTAAATCCAARTGGTGATCAGTCATAAGCAGTGTTTCCCAGAGTCAGTGTTGGGGCTAGGCCTCTTTGATTAATCTTTATTGATGATCTGGATGAGAGGATTGCATGCACCCTCAGCGAATTTGCAGACAACACCAAGCTGGGAGGAAGAGTTGATCTTCTTGAGGGTAGGAAGGCTCTGCAGAGGGATCTGGACAGGCTGGATMGATGGGCTGAGGCCAGCCRTATGGTGTTCAACAAGGYCAAGTGCTGAGTCCTGCACGTGGGTCACAACAACCTCATGCAGCACTGCAGGCCAGGGGCAGTGGCTGGAGAGCTGTGCAGCTCTGGGGGTGCTAATCGACAGCAGGCTGAACATGAGGCAGCAGTGTGCCCAGGGGGCCAAGAAGGCCGACGGCCTCCTGCCTGGTATCAGGWACAGTGTAGACAGCAGGACCGGGACAGTGATCCTCCCCCTGTACTCGGTCACTCGCAGCTCGAATACTGTGTTCAGTTTTGGGCCCCTCACTGCAAGAAGGACATGGAGGTGCTGAGCGTGTCCAGAGAAGGGCAATGGAGCTGGTCCAGGAGCTGGAGCCCAGACCTTGCRAGGAGCGGCCGGGGGAGCTGGGGTTGTGTAGCACRGAGGAGGCTCMGGGGAGACCTTAGCGCTCTCTGCAGCCACCTCAAAGGAGGCTGCAGTGAGGTGGGGSTTGGTCTCCTGAATAACKATGGACAGGACAAGGGGAAATGGCCTCAAGTTGTGCCAGGAGAGATTCAAGTTAGATATTTGGAGAAATTTCTACCTAGAAAGCGTGGTGAAGCGCTGGCACAGGCTGCCTAGGGAAGTGGTGGARTCCCCGTCCCTGYAGTGCTCCAGACACGTGCAGATGAGGCACTTAGGGACATGCCTTAGCAGGCACGGTGGGGATGGATTTACAGTTGGACTCGACAATCTTGAAGGTCTTTTCCAACCATTATGATTCTGTGATACCAAGTTGACAGCTGCTTTTTTGTAATTTGTGTTTTATTTCTTCACACGTACATCTATTTTGCGAGCTGCTGAATGTATCATGAGTGCTTCTGTGGATTTTATTTTGGTCTGAGCATCTATCACATGCATGTAACCTCAGGACATTATAGTTACCTGCATAGATAATGARTAAAATTTAAAGGCTTTTCTTATTAATACAGCAGCATACTTCTTTCATTTCTACAGTTTGTCACAAATACRTCATGTAGGGCAGATGCTGAAATATTTTTTTCAGTAGGCCTATATTTTTAAGCATTCTCTTTTTTGAGTACTGACAGAATTTCTTGTGTAGCTGTTAAGGAAGGCACAGGTCTCTGTTGTGGGTTTGCAAAAACTGTCACACAGACGTGCTAATGTGTTGTACTGTCTCTGAGGTCGAGTTAAACTCTTAGCTGTAGAAAAAAAGGAAAAAATAATGGATAAGTGAACACATCAAAAGTTCTCTTTGCTTCAGCAGAACAGTCACAATTCGGGCTGTGATCACCACCARTTTTGTTTTATTTAGGAATTGGAATTTGGTAGTTTTAAAGAAAAACCTATGTGGAAGGAGCTTTCCTGCAAATCAGCAGTTGAGCCACTTAGGCTGTTGGAATGCACTCTGTTTAAGGGAAGAAGAATGGTATAGATGTTAATACCAAGGAAACAAATCAATCTTGCTCTTCTAAAACAGTAACTCATGTTAGATGGTGTTAGAGGAAATCTARGGACAATTGCTGGTAATAATAAGTAAAAACTAACAAGATACTATTAAAATGGAATAGTCATCAAAATTCTAGTTAGAGCAATAATTGCTATTTTTCAGAAATACTAATGTTGTCTCGTATTTTTATACGACTGGCTTATATAGTTGGTGTTCTTCCGAAGGCAGAGAACAAGCCTGAAACTTCTAATATTTTGATTTCTAGGGATGCAATGGCTGAAAGGGAATTTAAGAGAATTTTGAGCCTTTTAACAAAAGGTTTACTCTAAGAAAGAGGTAAAGACAAATTCTCTCATGAATGAATTACAACTACTAGTTTGGTCAAAAAAACTTCAATAAGGTAGGATTATGAATGCAGTTATGTATTTAACTTGAATTAGCTATGAATGCAGATGCCTATTTTTCTTGAACACGAACACTGAAAGGAAGGGCAGAACTGTGGGGGACTGCAAGAACAAAATTGCATTACTTTAGAATTGCAACTTGAGTACTGTCTATTATACTTGATACACATCTTGAGAGACTGTTCAAGTGAACTGAAAACTAAATACTAGAGTCTCATGAAATAGTGGAAATTAATACAGGTAATATAAGCCATAATTTGCATCTCTTTTCCTAAGGTAGGATCTGCATGGATATAGTGGTGCTGTATAACAGTAGTTAGCTTACTGTGGGGAGGGTGGTCCATCTTCAGATCATGTTTTTAATCTAATGCTAGGCACAACAGTGAGTCTGTTACTCTTTAAATGTATGCATTATTAAAGAGATTTCTCCATCCTTCTCTTCGTCATGGCTTTCCTATCTAACATATAACACCAACAGTGAAGCACTCTGACTAGACCATCTCATCCTTTAACCCTCTTCATTTGATTGACCATATATTCTTTTAAATCTACCAAGACAACGCTAGTACTTTTGCTATTTGTGGAATATGTCAAAACTGAATTTATAATAGAAACATCTTTACAGTCGCATTTACTGTTCCACGGTGAGAGCCAAATTCTGGATTTATTTTAAAAAAAGAGCAGAGCTTGCCCCCTGCAGACATCAAATTTGCCTTGAGTTCTTAGGAATTTGGCTATGTCTTGCTGACCTGTGATTGGCGATCATCTGTGTGCTGACCATGTGGATGGTTTTAGGCTTTTCTCCAATGGAAAGGACTGTTGTTGAGGTTCAGATTACTTTAAATCCATTTTATTCTCAGAGATCACAGAGAATGATTTACCTTCTCCCTCCGCTTTGAAGGCAGGTTTTAGATACAGTCCTTATAATGTGTAGCTTTCCACAGCTTCTCTCTTGGAGTGACTTGTTGAGATGTCCAGCAGGAATTTTCACAGGTAGTTTAGTTGCACTCATAGGCTTTGGTTTAGGGATCCGAGTTGGAACTGAAGGACGCAAGACATCAGTAATCTTGAAATAAATCAAGAAAATAAATTATGTGTTAGGAGAGAGTGACTGTATATTTAGTTCTTTAATGTTCTTTTTACCTTCATGGAACTAAATGCATTGCTGCCATTTAAAGCTTTTTATCTGTCTAAACCTTCTTTCCCTCCTTGATAATGATCATAGCCTTCGGTTTAACTTTTCTACTTGATCTTTAAATATTGAAGAAAACAAAGAGATTGAAATTCTCTGCCTAACTAGACAAGTATAAATTGAAGGCTTTTCTGTCAGCTACTTGGACAGCCACGAGGACAACAAGAACTGTGACTTTTAAAGGTGAGATCAGAAGAGCTTCAGGGGCAGAAAAACGATATTTGGGAAATATCAGTTATTGCCCTCGAGAATGAGTAAGTGCTGCCATGCCAAGGCTGTGAACAGTGATTTTTCTGAATAAGTGCAGGAGCAAGTCTTGACCRAGTCCTGCATAGCAGAAAGTATGTAGTTCATATTTTGCTAAGAAATCCGTTCTGTGGTAGTGATCACAGTGAACATGAATGCATGCGTTTGTAAGTGACTGTTTTGTAACTGCCCTCCAGAATTCAACATAGTCATGCCTAATTGCAAAAAAAATAAGTTTCTAGATAAAGATAAGAACAGAAAATAAAAGGAGAACCAAAAAGAGGTAAAAACTTGGAAAGGCAGTTAGACTGTTTAAAAGACACTGTATCAGAAGTTTGGATGARTATTGGTGAAACAGGCACCACCTACCACAAACATTTTGATTTAACTTTTTAAATACCCTTTAGAATTGAGCAAAAGAGTAAAGGAAGCTGTTCACATTTGCTCAAGCTCTTCCTCCCAATACAAAATGGAAATGGTGTTCAAACCAGGACAATTCAGAACAGCACAGACAAGGTGGTGATTTAAATATGGATGAGAACGAACGGGACCAAAATATCTTATGAAACAACAGAGAAGTGTCCAAAAAATCCTGYCAGCCGTAACTATTTTTGTTTTTCTAGATATATCAGAATTGGAAAATCTACCACTTGCCTGCTTATAATTGTATATGATAGGACCTCTCAAAAGGATAAAGCCATGATGTAAAAGCCAACATTTAAGTGGTCAGTATGGAGGAATTTGCATAAAGTTTTTGCATCCCAGTTATGCCAAATGAAGCTGTTATGGGAGGTGAAGTGGCGGGGAGGTACCTGCTGTCTTGCTGAAGTTTAAGAACAGATTGGTACGAATAGTAATAATAAATCTCTCAAAGCAATATAGTGTTTTCCYGAGAGTTATGAAGGACATGATGATTGAAATTGCTAAATCTGTAACGGTGATATGCAGTCTACCATTGAAATTACAGGTGATGCTAATGAGCTTAATGCAAATTTAGAAGAAAACTTTGGAAAATTCATGTGACTTATAAGCTGTTCAAACTGTAGAAATGACSATAAGGAATACCATTTTTATGTCCATAGCCCCATAAAGACTTGTGGTACTTGATGAACACATAGACTCTCTTGGAAGAGGACTAGTACTGAAATGATGRTGATTGTATTGTAAAGTTAAGCGTATTAGAAACAAGAGCTGCCAGTAATTCCTGGAATGGAGTAAATAAATGATAAAAGTGTATATGAAGGCAATGTGAACAAATGCAAAGTAGCATATGCAGGGGAAGGATAGCTCACGTACATTAAATCTCATTATTCTATCTATTGTCATTTTCCTTGTAAGTAAATTATAAAACTCATTAGAGCTGAGAGTTGTTCAGGTGAAAGGTCTAATTTGATTTAGAGAGAATTAGGCTGATAGCTATCCAGTCAAGCTATCAAGCTTACTAACTGCAAGTCTCAGATTGTTGGAACCTGGATTTTTTTTTTTTTTTATAAGCATTTATTGCTGGTCAGTGCTAAAAATGGAATACATAAACCTTGGGTCTGATGCATATCACTGGTTTCATGCTTGCAGTTTTGAAATGAGAATGTTTTAYTTTTATAGCTTTTGTTTGTGATATATATTGAGAAATGAAGGAGTTTGGTTTTGAATGTGAGAGAAAAGGATATGGTTTTTGTTTGCTCTGTGTTCCTGAAAAACTTTTTGTCTCTAGATGGCAGCAAAGCTTTTGTTTTATTTATTTATTAATACATTACTAGGTATTTCATTTCAGTCTGGATAATTGTAACCAAAGCCAAGCTGATACTTGTAGCTAATGCTGAGTAAAATAAATAAAAGCTTATATGCTTCTTAAAGRTAATTTTGAACTTGCAGCTTGACAGTTTACAAGAAGGGAGACAAACAACTATTTTCCTTCAATTATTAAAAGCACTGTATTAAGGAATAAGGTAATGGCTTTAGAGGGGATAATCTGTGTAACTTCTATATGGCTTTCTTTGAGCACTGGTTTGGAATAGCCTGCTTTCTGGCTGCATGGCCTGACATGGCAGGTGAGGCACRGGACCACGGGTGGAAAAAAAGCATTTGGATGGGATATTCCCAGCTGTGAGGAAAGAAATACATAAGCTTTTTCATATGTTCATCTAAATATGTTAACAAAAACAGATTTGTAAAATCTTAATGCTAAAATGTGATTGAACCTGTATTAAATTTTCCTTCAGAGATATGTCCAAGTTAGAGATTCCACATGGTACGAAGTAGCTGAGGGCTACCATCTGTAGTTGGTTGATTAGCATTGTTAATAGCTTGAGAAAGTGTATGKAGACCCAGATTTTCACAGGTTTTGGCTGATCAATATTTAGGTGATGTCCTGAGATCCTATAAAATCAGTGGGAGGTTGGGTTTCAAAATACCTTTTTAGTCTAACCTTTATTTTATACCGACTTCCACTTCATTAAAAGCATCWTTTATGATATTTGGAGCAGCTAGAATCTATTTGAAACAATTTTTTTTTTTTTGTGATTGAAAATTATATTGTTTTGCAGTTCTAAATTACAGTATTGAATACATGCAATTTTTTATAACATCAAGTTTTGTCAATTTTATCACTATTTCTTGCAAATCTTACYACTATGTACAGTGTTGGTATTATGGTCCTTTAAGTGTGTTGTGTTTCCTTATAACCACAAAAACTAGTTGATGCAACTCCTGGCGTAGACTCAAGCTTGAGTATAGCTAATAGACCTGAGTTGTAGATCTTTTGCCTGTGCAAACGAACGATGCCAAGGTTAATTTTCTGTGCAAGATAACCAAACCTGCACTGCAGTGATTCTACCGATTTATAGTGTACCRCATAGCTATAACTTCTATTGTAGGGGAAGCCTTTAACATATTCTCCATTTATTTCTCTCCCTCCTCTTTCAGGGCTTAAACATTAATTTCTCTTTCACCATTCCAGGCATACAATCTAGAGAGAAAAGAGTTAATAAYTTGAATTTAATCAAAACAAGTTAGTATTTAATTTTTTGAGTTGTAGTGAATTATACATGCAAGTAGATCAAGGTCTAAGAGCTTAACTGAGTTTCTAATGCTTGCTACTTGACAGAATGTAAATCGCAGATGGGAGTGGTGAAAAGACCATTTTGGGTCAGTTGACTAGGTCMATACCTGAGCTGATGTAAGATTGTACCTGTAAAGTGGAGATGGCATAATATAATCATTTGAAAAGCACTTGGTAATAACTTGATTTAAAGTTCTGCAATGCTTTTTTTGAAAAAAAAAAAAATCTGCATAATCATCTTGGTTCCTTCCCTTGTACTCGAGGTAGATGCATGCATGCATGCAGGTACATTGGAGGCAATATACTTGTCTGTTGAGATGCCCCTTTTATTTCTTGAGGGAAGATGTAAGTGACTGCAAAACTGTGTATTAGTTGTTGKTGGTGGTTTTGTTTTGATGTTAGCTCTTAGATCAGTGGATAGAAAGTTTGTATGCATACCAATAATACTTTCTCTTCAAATACRTGCATCCTTTCTGCCCATTAATATCTTCTTTTAAGATGAGAAGTACACACAGGTATTCATACCCACTTTTCTCCTGAATTTGCCAGTTGTGTTCATTATTAATGTTTAGTTATGGCTCCTTGATTTCCCTTCTGTTAGTTAGTTTTTATATTTGTTGTCTTTCCAAGTGGTAGAAGTAGTAGCAGGATACCTTTACTCTTTCAAAACCAAATTGAGCAGTCTCTCATGCTCAGGAGAGCCTTTGTCAGTTCCTATCAGTGCTCAAAACACCTCAAGAAGAGAAGTGTTTCACAAGACCTATTCATATGGGATTTGAGCTGTTGCTTGGTTTTCCATTATTTAATGTATCTAAACACAATTGAAAAATAATTATGGGAATAACAATTTTATAATCTTACAATAAGAGCAAAACAAAAGACAAACTAGCCAGATTTTGGAATGATTGGGTTGCATCATGTGTCTGTCTGTAGGCAGAAGAACAAATTTTAGATGTTGGATTCAGAAAATACCAGTATTTTTGTCAGCAGCATTTATGACTGTTGAAGTAAGCAGTCAAAATGCATCAACCCTAGCAGTGAAGATCCAAGAACCAAGAAAACTGCAGGTTCRTAAAGATCTTTTAATGTCTTCAGTTTTAAATTGCCTTCTGAAACAAATGTCAGTCACTCAAAATAGGCAATGTCAGGGGTAGAGTTAAAATGAGAATGCATATGTAGTGTCTGTGTCTGCTACCTCCTCATAAATGATGGTAAGTACATAGGGGACTGCGACAAATACTCCACAATTGAGAATTGTGAGRTTTTCCTTATGCAACTGTGAAAATGTTCTTTCCTGGTGTGTAGAAGTCAGCTGTGACTGTATGCTCTGAGATTTGAGCCTATGTGCTGTTCTTTTCCCAAGAGCACAAAGGTAGCTTGTGCTATTTKTACAGACCATCAAATATTTTAGCACAATGTAATATTTTCTCTTTGGGCGGTGGCCTTAAGCAAGTGTGTGAGCATGTGTGTTTAGGAGGAATGTATCTGTTTCTATCATGTTCTAGAAATTGATCTACTTTTGATCCTAATTGTTTATTTTATTT